AACACGAAATAAAAACAGTTTTTTTTTTATGAGATAGGTGATGATGAAGCACCTCAAAATCCCATCAAGAAATTCAAAATTGGGACTTTTAATGTAATCATTGATGATTATTATCACCGCAATGGAATTCAGATTCAAGAAACATGAAGAATTGTTTCATGATTTCGAACTATTCGATCTGTCAAGATTCACTGATGATCAAATAATATTTACTGAAAACTCAATAAGGATGATTTATGAAAATGTCAAAAATTATTATCCTGCTGATGAAATAAGCCTTGATATTTCACCTCGAAGTGGGAAGACTGTCGAGTACTTTATCCGAAGATATGATGGGTGGTGGAACTTATGTCTTCGATGTAGAAGAGGAATTGATTTCATAAAAACAGAAGTTTCGCAAAACATTTTCACTTTGTTGCTTCCATGATACAATTTAAACGTCGAGATCTATCCATATTTAGATAAAATTATTCTCACACTTTTAGTATCGCAGGTTTCGTATGAAAGATCTTTCTCAAAATTAAAATTCATTTTGATTAGGCTAAGTATTATGTACGGCGGGTGAAGGATTATATAAACACCCGTCTGTATTTTAATAATTCGGTTTATTATAATATTATGTTAGGCACCTTATTACATTCCCGTTAAGAACAAGACTAACTAGCTATAAATGTATATCTATATGAATAGGTTTTTTACTACATAAAAAACGTACTTCTTTTTGTTGTGACAAATAGCAAAAAGAGCTGGAATGAAATACAGGGCGTATTCAATACATTACACTAAGAAATTATCTGAGCCAAGAACATTTGGGAGCTTTCATGATGAAGAGCTGCGAAATAACGATTTTATAATCAATAGGAAGCGACGATATCATTTTCGATTTCGTTGAAAAATGTGAATCCATGAGAGGTTCACTCGTTTTTTAATTTCGATTCCTAATGCGTCTTATGTTTCATTTTGGATAAATAATCTTCTTAGTCTTTCTGTAGCTTTAATATTATTTACTAAGTGCCTTATGTTCCTCTACCATAGAATTATCGTTCATTATCATAAAATGTTATTCATGTTATACATTTCATTTTCCTTCAGTATATTTGATGTTTTATGGAAAAATTTGTTATTTTTTTTTTTCGTTTTTGTCTATGTCACTAAAATATGTAAGGAAATTATATGATTAGCTATATTAGCTTTGACATTTTCTCCGGAGATGGGCCGGTAGGGTTCAATTCGCCCGGGCCGATTCAAAGGTCCAGTCCGCCCCTGCCTGTATATTACTCAAAAGATCATAGAACGTCAATGAATACATAGTATTGAATACTCAATACATCAATAAACGGTTTCTTATTGGAAGAACTAATAACGTATTTTTATTGAGGATCCATTTTAAACTTATTATCTGTATCTTGTCTTTTATGTGCATTTTCCTATAAAAAGGGTGATGGAGATGTGGAGACACTGTATATTCCATTGAATGTCATCATGACAAAATCAAGATGTGAAAAACAAAACAAGATTATTGATGTAATAAACTGAAAGATGATCTCACCCTTAAAAGTCGGACTACTCACAGTGAATGTGCTTTGTCTGCTTTCTGCAATAGGGCTGATAGTCATTGGAGCCTGTGGCTGGAGATCCAGCTTTGTGGAAGAGGTCTTGAAAAGCACAAAAGACTGGTGCTTGACCCTTGGTTTGATTGCCCTACTCACCTGCTTACTGGGCTCATTTGTGATCATATTTGCCAGCAAGCTGCTGGAGTGGCTGCACTTTTTAGCTGTCATTGGGCTCATCATCATATGTGTGGTACATGCAATCCTGGATCTTTTTGGAAAAAAGGGAGTGCTACAAAAAGCACACACACATATGAAAGAGGCATATGACAAAAGGACATATGATTTGATAGATGTATTTCAAAGGGAACTACAGTGCTGTGGATATAACTCAAAGTTTGATGCAGCTGTGAAAAAAGCTTATTTTGATGGACAACTGATTGACAGCTGCTGTGATGATGTTGATAAATGCATGATTGAGATGGCAAGCAAAAATAACTGCTCAAGTAGGGTTGCATACATCTCTACTTTGAGCTCTATCTTCATAGTTTTTGCATTCCTAACAGCTTTTATGCTACTTGTTCTAGCAGTATTGTTGGTATTGAAATTCATCCATAAACATAAGGTAGAAATTGAACAAAGTGTCAGCTATTATCAAGATGATGATGATTATGATGATGATGTGCCTGATTACTCGAATTATTCTCGGAATACTTCTAGGTATTCTCAGAATACATCCAGGTATTCTCAATCTTCCAGATATTCCCAAAGTCCCAAGTATGTTGGGCCAAATCAGTATTAATAGGTCTATGAATAATTAAACAATCAAATGGAATTCATGTTTTATTATAAGTTCCATCAAATCTTCTACCACAAATATATTAATATTTTACCCAATTATACATTGATGTGTTGTCAACATAAAATTACTTTGACTTGATATTTCTCATCCTAAGTTCATGTAGTAAGAATGCCTTCATATTTGGATCTGTCACTTTATCATTGATTTCTTTGAGAGCATTTTGACCACCATCTCTGAAATATTGGCTGAGTTTTTCAGCATATTCCAACCACACACAGTTGGCACAACCAGACATGCAGCAGTTTGTTGGTTCCTCAGGATATGGTTCTTTGGAATTTTTCCCAGATTCCTCTGTTGTAGATTTCGAATTGCTTGAATGTCTTTTGTCTAAGGTGAAAGTTTGATAGTGCAAGTATACATTCCTTATTTTGATCAAAATAAGTCCAGGCCTTATTTCTTTCATTAATAAGAAGAGTTGAAAATACTTTGCATTAAAGAGTTGCAATTACATAACCGAATCACACAAACAAATTTCATGAAAAACTTACGGATTCAAATTTATTTTGTCCATGTTTATCTGATCTGGATTGACCTTTTCACTAATTTTTAATAATTTTATTTTGTACTAGTTTGTAGGTTATTAATGTTATTATTTTTCTAACCAAAGTTTTTCAACTTCTTACTTCTTATGGTAAACAGTGCTATAAATGTAACAGAAACCATGATTATGTTGATTCAAAATATGAAAAATCTTGTAAATTCACCATTTTCAATCAATTGAAATACCAATAATATTCTTAAATGTAATATCAATTTGAGAAAGGGTCAATTCTTCAAAGCAAATATTTGCAGGTCGAGCTATACAGGGTGATTCAGGGCCATCAAAATGTCTTTCCTGAATATGACTTTTTATCATTATTTCCGAAACGGTTTGAAAGAAAATCATGAAGTTTTTGTACGTTGATTCACTTTTGCGTTGAATTCATAAAGTTTTGACTTCGATAAAATGCTAAACTCTAAACTAAAACCAATCTGCACATAAAAATAAAGCATTCCAAAAGACAATGAAATAATTGATTTGATATTTTGATGACTTCATCTTTTTTTATGCAACGGCGGTTTATTCTGAATCACTTACTTGAATCAGAGAAAGGGGTATAAAATATATTTTCTTAAGATTATGGAACGACAATGATTTATGTTATCAGCGCGTTAAGCAGCTAATCTCAGGGGGCAGCAAATTTTCTATATATTATAGAGATAAAATCAATTAAATAAATACGCTGCAGCTACAACACTCTGTATAAATTATTTTACTAATATCAGTGTTCATGTTAAGAGTAGCGTTTGAGAAAATAAGCGTACGCCACCTATCGAAGTTCATGGAAGCTGTCAATGCGACATGTTTGCATCATTTTCATTGGTTCACATTCGTTTTTTGTTAGTTCTTATTGGTGATATCATCAAAACAAACCGCTCAGAACTGTTGAAATTGTTGCCGTCAGGTGGGGCAACGTGTTATTTTCTATCGCGAATCACTTCTCCCTTTGAATACTATAGCGCCTATAGAGACAGGAGGCCTAGAACAAATATTATCATCGCGGCAAGTGCGTGTACAGCGACTAAATTCGTCGTCATAATACAACATCTACTACCGCTCGTGGCGTAGTTGACTGTGTGTTTGAATCTCACGTCGGCGACCCGGGTTCAATGTTTGCGACAATCGGCTTTTTTTATTAGTTCTCTTTTCTCTTTTCTCAAGTGATTCTCCGAAAAATATAATTTTTTTAGGAAGAAGGCTCATTTAGGTGGAGTGAGGTTATGTGATTTTAAAAAAGTAGTGTTCTTTTTCATGCAGGAGGAATATATTCCTTCCTCCCTGAAAAGAGTACTGTGGAGGCATTTACTGATGAGAAAAAGTTTTCACAAAATTATTTTACAGAGTAAATGTTTGTTTTCGCTGAGTTAGATCGTGTTGTTCTAAAAAATAGTCTCTTTTCACATCCATGTGAATTCATGAAAATGCTAGTTTCTTCTCGTTGGGTTATCCTATCAGTTTAGTTGAAGATCATTGCAGTACTTTCTTCCTCAAGTTAACTCAAGTTAAAGAGAATCATCACAATCCGGCAACATTGATATGACTGGCATAGGATTAGGCGAAGTCCCCACCACTATTCAATTTTATGACGCATACTCCGCAGACGCAAGTCATATAAAATGTTTTTCATTGTTTAGTAGAATTCTCAACACATTGATTCATATTTTATATACCGAAAATGTTATATATTTCGAAAGCATGCCATTTAATGAATCATTCTTCTTCAGATTGGCTATTCCCATTGTCTGCACTCAAAGAAATAGATATTTTTCTTCAAATTACATTGAAAGTGGCTTTTCAATGACACTCAACAGGCAGAAAATGTTTGTTACTCAACTTTCCTACTCATAATCAAAATTGACAATGACTTTGGGTGAACATAAAATAATGGATTATTTGGAAAAAGTAGAACCTATAACCAAACATTTTGGCCGATGTAGCTTTCAGCAACTCTATTAATTTTTTTATAAACTAAACTGGAACATACTTATTCAATGAGGATTTATCGTATGATTTATTGACCTCTATTACTTTTCCATACAAACTAAAATTAGTCTTTTTTCTCTTTGGCGAACTCGGGCTGTTCAACGTCCACATAACTGAATGCGACGATCCAAAAACACAGCCAGTTCGGTACAAAAATGCACGTCATTACGCTGTACAACCAGTTTCCATAAATCATGGAATCAACAATGCTATAAATGACTGACTGGTGAGTGGCGTCCCATCCTCGGTGAAAAATTTCTTTGGGACTTTCTTCAGGAAACATCAGGTATGTATTGACTAGTACTACTGTTATCAGTATGGCCACCGGATGAACGAACAACCAGAAAACTTTCTGGAAATATGAACAGGATCTGAAAAAAATGCACTTATTTGAAAACTGCAACGAAACTATACTGTACATGCAGTGGTCCCGCTACCTATTAACATTGTCAAATAGTTTAACAATTAACAATTTGTAAAAATAAAGGTTCCCTTCAACACCATGTGCCGAAACAATGAGAGAGGATTGATGACAAAATCAACTGACGATTGGGTAATTGTAAATGTGATATGTGAGTTATTTTCAATGAATTCGAATTTTTACTTTCAATTTATGTACCTATAATGACTTTGGTGATCGAAGTTCACCAATCCATAAGTGTGTTAGAGCAAAAAAACTATTTTTGTTGTTTATTTGCATATATCTACTATTTCTATGTATGGCGCATCGCCTATACGATATCTCAACAAAAATGGGACCAAAATGAGAGGTAATTTTTGAATCTATAAGGACGGAAAGTGAAGGATGGAAACAGCCATATTGGTTTGACAAGTTTCGTAATATTTTTTCCCTACGTCGGCATCAACGCCGATTAGTCGATTTCGTTACCTAAAGAGACAAATATTTAATAATGTTGTTATAAATTCAGGGACATGTTTGGATCTCGAAAATCACCATCTTCTGACTAATAGAAGTTTTGGAATTGAAAAAATAAAATTACTAACTACCAGTGGCGGCTCGTGACTTTCATGACAGAGGAGGCTGAATGATGAGATTTATTGTGAAAAACAACTCTCTACGACTCACCCAAATCAATAGCTTTAATGACATTCTGTTTACTAGTTAACTTGAACTTGATACTTGAAGAGATGTGTTCCTGTGATTTGCAGTGTCTATCCAATCTGCGAGGCAAATTTTTCAAATCATTATATCCTAATCGCCCCCAACATGATGACTTATCGGTTCAAAATAATGCGCAGTACCAACAAAATAGCTTATTCCTTACCTCAGCTCCCGTCAACCAGATATATTTTTTATAGTTATCAGAATTGAACGAACGATTTTGTTTGTTACCTGTTTACAATCAGATTTTTTAATTCCGGTGTCGGACGTTTGTTTTTCACAATCAATTCATCTTCATAAGACAAAGCACTGAATGGGTTCACCAAAAAGTATTCCACTAAATCGCAATCGTTTAAAACGCTTCATTTTTCAGAAATTTATAGAGCCCCTAACCATTAACCTAACATAAACATAAACAATGTACTCGCACTGGATTGGGCGTATTCGGGCATTTGCATTGCGCGCGTGGGTTGCGCATTGTGAAGGAGTCTAGCCTCCTATAGATGTTGCCAAGTTGAATATTTTACGCGTGATTTGCAGACTTCAACGTGTGATGCGTGGGCAAGCACTGTTGCCAATTCAAAAATATTTACCTAAAAACAGGAAATAAAATCAAAATCCATATATTTTGGTGTCCTCTTAATGAGAAAGTATAGATAATATCAGTTTGAGGAGAATCTATGAGGAGGCTCAGCCTCCGTTGCCTCCTCTGAGGAGCCGCCACTGCTAACTACTGGTTCTGCCTGCCGATGCCCAACGTCAAAAAATTCATGTTTGAATAAATAAATGATACAAACGGGTTCTCATTGAATAAAGGGCCCCTTGCCCTGGGGAAGCATACCATATATAAAATTTCAGATACCACAATTGTTTATGAAGGGAAATGACAAACAATTCTTGACATAATTTTTTGTGCCAAAATCAAAATTTACCTGCAAGATGTTGGACCTATACATAGGGCCAAGGGAACGCTGACGATCGCACAGAAAAGTCCCAATGAAAAGTTATTCATGGAAATGCATATCAAAACGGTCCCAAGCTCTAACATAGCCAGCATATTCAACAACTCCATTCCTTGCTTGCATTGTCTGAATGAAATGAAAATGGGCATAAACAGTAGCAAGCCAGCAAAGGCAAGCTGTCCATTGAAAATGCAAGTATTAGAATTGAGGTTGTACATATCTGCTAGGAGAGGCATGTAGTGGGGAATGATGGACATCAACACTCCCAGAAGGTGTGTGGTTAAGAATACAATTATTATTTTATCAAAGCTTGTAGAGGAATCTGATACTTCTTCTGAAAATAATTAAAATTAATCAATTATCACTGAAAAATCAACGTCACAATACCTGATGAATCTTCTGCTTTGGTTTGCAGTTTCAACCATTTGGCACAAGCTTTGACAAAGAGAGCTCCAGCAATAAGACATACTGAGGGTATATACAATCCTTGAAACAAAATCAATTTCACAATATCATCAAAAAAGTTTATATAATACGACAAACCTATTGAAATGTATCTTTCAGATGATGGTAGCAGGTAAAAGAAGAAGCTTTGGTGAAATCTTTCAAGCAGGTTATTCAAACTGCGAAAAGTGCCCTCTAAAATTCTTCCAATGCCTACAAATCCAACTTTACTGCTTCCCTTGCCTTTGTAATTTTCAAAACCTTCCAAAGTCAGGGCTTGAATTCCGAAACGGTGAAATAGACCATGATTGCCATTTGGAATCTACAAGTGCCCTTGAATTAGTGTACTGGATGATATGTTATAAAGTACCACCCCCTGTTAGTCTTTTTTTTCTGTGACGGGAAAAAAGTTTGAAATTTCATCTTTGTTGACAGATTATAAAATGTCACTTTTCATAAATTACTGTAGAATGGAGATACTTGGAACTGCGGGGCCAATTGGAACAAAATTTCATATTTTAGAATTACCCCTTAAAATCTACAGCTGATTTCATTTCGATACATCGTATCATGCCTAGTTGTTGAGTATGGTTATACACTAGTCGATTGAAAATAAGTGGCGTTTAAATATTGTTTTAGGAATATTATTTCATCATATTGAAACTATAAGCGAGGATATGACATAAAAAAGCTTCAAATCAAAAAACATGATCCAGTCAATATACATATAGTTCATGTTTAGCAATCATTTCATTAGCATAATGCCGTGATATTACTGCTCAACTTTTTAAGTGTTGCCAATTTTTTTTTTTATTATGAAAGTCATAGTTGAAAAAATTCGCCAGAAACTTGGAACAGGCGCGAATGATTTTACTTATCTGTTTGTGATCATCTGATGAGACCTTCCCTCTATCCACTACCCTATAACAGTCTCCTGAACACCCTACCAACACCACCAGAGGGTTAATTTTTGAGTACTTTTGCGAAATGAGATTTTACTAGTCCATTTTGGCCTACTTTCGAAAATTGTTCAAAATTGATCAAACTGTGTTAGTTTTGGAAGCCCATATTTGGAGAAATACAAAAAGATAATTATTTAGAGTACAGTATTTTTGAAATGCTCATCAAATGGTCCTTTCAAATGGTGAGAAAATATATAGTATTCCATTTGAAAGTCATACACTTTTTGCTGCTTTCTGTATATTTTTACTGATAGTGAAAATGTATCTGTTGATTGAAGAAAAAAATCCCCTGTGAAGCTTTTTTTCTACTGTCAAAAATATGTCACCCAGTACAAAATTGCAGGGATTCAGCAAAAATTATAAAATGGCAAAATTTTTGAAGTACTTCTGTGGATTTATTTGTGTACTTTTCCGAAAAACAGTGGAGGAAAATATAGTGAATAAGTATAGTAAAATTTATACACCTTTATGAAAAAAAAAAAACTGGGAAATGATTTCTAAAGATGCCTAGATCTTATATTTTCTTATAAAAATGTGAAAAAATATCTTGTATTATTTGAATGATCTCTAAATAATATGATTTCCACTAACCCTTTATTTACTGCTCACATGCTCATTAGGGTTGAAGGTTTTTTCATTCTCAATATTTGATTATTGAACTGGTTTTTAACAAATTGAACAATCAATATAGTGGTATATTTCAATGCTGGGTCTGATGTTTGTCTCAGTATACTATCAATATTTATAAATTACTTTTAAAAAATCTTTATGATACCTAAAGTGTTTTGAACAGATTGAAAATAAGATCTCAACAAAGCATCAGGTTGTCTTGAAGTGTTGACAAAAAACTAAAGTCGGTAACTACCTTTCAAGAGCTAAAAGGTAATTTTTAATTTGGCCATATGCCTATATGTATATTATGTACAGAGAGACCAAATATTTACTTACCCCAGTAGCTTGTGTTGCCATCATTGCCAAAAGGTTCTTAAAATTATTTTGCCATTCCTTCATAGGATCTTTGTAGTATTTTGCAGCCTTGTTTTTGAAAGTATGATGAAGACCTTCTTTGGCACACATTTTTGATGCCAAGTTGAAAAGATCCAAATTAGGCAGCTGGCCATTGAGACCCTCAATTTTTATGTCCATTGTACCTAAAGCAATTTATGAAAAATACAAACTTTAATAGATAATTCACCATTTCTGGGATTCTTTTACAATGAGTCAGTATTGTGATATTGTTTTGTGTAAATATCCTCAGTAGACCTGAAGACTGACATAGTTACCTAATATATTACTGTGTAACTCTAAATTGATTGCAGCCTGTATTGCACCTGCTCTTCCTTTCAAGTCCCCATGCTCCAGTACATGATCATTACCACAAGTAACACCATGGTAAGCTTCAAGCCAAGCTTGAATTCCTAACTGCTCATGTTCAGTTATCAAGAATATTATGTCTTTAGCCCAATACTTCTCTCCTGAACAATAAAGTGTATTACACATTGTTTCATATTGCTTGTAAATCTACCTTACTATTTGCATACTTGGCAAAAGCCAACATAATAGCAACTGAAGGAGCTGTAGGAGGGTGTACACTATCAGGTGGTCTGTATGGTACACTGAGTACCAATGCTTCAGTGCTAGATCCTCTTGCTGCTCTCAAAATGCCATACAAATTCTTGCCTTCATATTTCTACAATTAAAATAAAATCTTGAAAAATCTGCATAAGATTTAATTGTAAATTGAACTAACCTCTTTTTTATTTAGAGGAGAGTTAAGTGTAAAATTATGGGTGTATGTATCCACGCCAATCTGTCTGAACTTCGCTAGCAAGTAAGAGTATGGTAAGGAATCACCATATTTCTTCATTTCATCCATCAATTCTTCATGATACCTCATTGCTTCCTTATCTTCTCTGAATTGTGATTTGACTAGACCAGGTAGTAAAGCATTTTCGGAAAAGTATGTGCTAGCATTCATTGTAGGATAAGCTAACGCACAGAACCATATTATTCCAGATAGGTACAAGAGAATGCAAAGTTTGTTATAGTACTTCAATAAGAGTTTCACGAATTTTCCTTGGCCAGTACTGGGATCCGTTAGCAGTCCCATCTTTCTCAACGTGGTCAATCTATATTCTATATTATATAAAACTGGCGAAATACTTTATTTTCAATACATTTTAATTTGACTACGAAGTCAATATTCAAAATTTTGAAAAATAGTTGTCATTTATTCATATTTCATGGTTAAATACTCTAATTTCAAAAACTTCCGTTTCTCTTCCTCTCCTGTTTCCATAAGACATAAGACATACAGCATACAGCCAAACTTGGTGTGACGGTGTGGTGTTTGGAACTAGCAAGCAATAACACATAAATGACACTGGCACTTAAAAAAAAGAGTAATTTCTCTCGAAAATGATTGAAAATTAATGAAAATATCTTATGACATTTTCGAAAAACATGAAAATTTTTCAAAATAAAAACCTCTGAAAGCACACCTATAAAGCGCACAGTCAAGATACTATAACATAATTATTCCTTCTTCCTTTTCCAGACAAAATGGGATTTCTAACGGTTCTCAAGAAAATGAAACAAAAGGAAAAAGAAATGAGAATTCTCATGCTGTATCCTTAATACAAAAAAATATTGGTATATTGCTCAAAAGTCTTGAAATATTAATCTTTAACTGGAAAATTCAGAGGCTTAGATAATGCTGGAAAAACGACAATCCTCAAGAGATTCAATGGAGAACCTATCAACACAATTTCCCCCACATTGGGATTCAATATCAAAACTTTGGAACACAGAGGGTACCTACTACTTTGAAAATTATCCACATGTGTCTATTTAATTAATTTTCTTCCAGATTCAAATTAAACATGTGGGATGTAGGTGGTCAGAAGTCTTTGAGATCATACTGGAGAAACTATTTTGAATGCACTGATGGTCTCATTTGGGTAGTAGACAGTGCTGATAAGAGAAGATTAGATGATTGTAAAGCAGAGCTACATGCATTGTTAAAAGAGGAAGTAATGTTACAAACAAAAATTCCTCTGTTTGAATGTTCTTATGCATAACTTTGATTTCAGAGGTTGGTAGGTGCTACTTTGTTGATATTTGCAAACAAGCAGGATTTACCAGGAGCTTGTTCAATGGAGGAGCTTCAAGAAGTGAGTATAGTATTTATTCATTGGTATACAATTCTTCTATATTTTTATTTCATAGATTTTGGAATTGGATAAAATCAAAACTCATCACTGGAAAATTGTTTGGTGCAGTGCTGTTACTGGAGATAATCTACTCAGTGGAATAGATTGGCTAATAAGTGATATATCTGCAAGAATATTTACCTTGGATTGATTTATTATCTCAGAACTACTCCAATATCAATTATCATCAGAAATTAATGCTTTTTTATAATTTTTTCATTAAAATAACATATTATTAATCTGTTTTTCAATTTGATTATATAAGTAGATAGGAAGGAATTTATATACATGAAAAAATGAGGAAAGTAATATTTCATTATCAAGAATATATTGGTAATGGTCAAACAAATTTCAGTGTGTATCCATAAACTGAAGTTCAGAAAGAACCAAGATATTATTAGGTAATGGCTTGGGCTGAGGTGATAGGATGGTCAGTATTTGTCTTTCTGCATCCACATTTGTCCTAAAAAATATCTGACAAATAAAATTCCTTATTCATTTTATTTTACTTACACACAAACAAAGCCAGCAACATGAGATGTGATCACCTCTTCCTCTTTTTCTGAAAAACTAACAGCTAGAATGTGATGCAGAAGCCCAGCATTAGGTGTGAGTACAACCAGCTTAGTCATATGATCGTCTGCCTTCATACCAAGAGGTAAACAAGAATCAGGTAATGCTGGAGCCCCAATTTTGCATATTTTCACTTCAGAGAATTTCACATCAAATGAATGGGGATACAAAGAGTTTCTCACAGTGCCATAGAAGTATTCCCTGATCCTTTGGTCCCTTGCTTCTGATCTTATGCTTTTTGATCTTTCTACTACACCACCACTTTTAGGTAAGAATACAACTTTAACAAAATTTGGCAGATCTCTGACTAATTCATTATAGAGCCTCTCTTGATCTAGAACCATTATCACATCCACTTCAAATGCCTTTGCTGAGCCTAATAATTGTTTATATCCTTCAGCTTTAGTCCAGCCACAGGTATTGATAATGACTCCTGATGCTCTAGCTAGAAAGGAAAAATACTGTGAAATAGTGGTATAAAATAATTTGTACAATTACTTCTCTTATTGACTTCCAAACGTTCTTTCACTGTAGTAGCAAGCTGTTCCACTAGGATATGAAATAAAGTACTGTTTGCATGAGGAGTTTTATGTCCAAAATTATACACAAGTGGAGCTTCCTGAGAGAAACCTTCATCTATTGCAGCAGGTCGCTCAATCATTAGAGCTCCTACAGTGCCTGGTATTGAAACTTGTCCTTGTCCTACATCCAGATCTACAAAAATCGGGCGCCTACCCATTCGAACAGCATAATTCAAGAGTATTCTACTGATTGTTGACTTCCCAACATCTGTAGGCCCCACAAGCATAGCTATGGGCCCCCTTTTATTGTCTTTTTCAGCTTCAATTCTCATGAATTCCAGTGCCCCATGACAATTTGAATAGATGACCATTGGGGTTTCTTTAGCTGTGTAAATAACATCAGTTTTACCTTTCACTTCAAGAACACATCCATGCCATGTATATACAGCGATTTTGGCACCTGCAGTGAACTCATAAGTTTTTCCTTTCACTATTTCAGTACCAAATACTTCAGCTATTCCGCTTTTCAAAGTTAAATATACTTTATCAGTCTTAGATTCTACCTCAAACCGGAGTTCTTGGTCTTGGTCGAGGGTGTATTCCTGAAGAACTTTTTTATCGGTCATTTTCATAAATTTTTCATTATATCAATGGAATTCTGAGTATCCAAATTAGTATCACATCCACAGTTCCATCAAGAGTCCTTTAGAATCAAGTCAAAATTTCAAAACAAATACAAAATGCCGTACATAACCTAAAAATTGTCGTCTTATCTTATTAGTCACAGTCCTTAGCTACCAAGAATATTTATATTCGTACCCTCTTATAAATATTTCATATTATCAGAGATAAGTTATAATGAAACCTACGTCTTAAAGGTCCTAAGTGAAAGTAATATTCACTTGGAAAAAGCCGAATGAGGTTATGATGTAACTTTTTGAATTTTTTTGTGACACTATTCAAAATTTTCAGTGAAATGGTTCAAATAATCTTAATTCCGTATAAAAAACTGATTACATTACATTTACAGACTATGTCATCCACCAGAAATCTAAGTAAATATCTCAACAGGGATATCAGTGCAAAAGCAATAAGACAAAAATTTTTGGAATACTTCATAAATGAAAATAATCATAAATTCATCAAATCAAGCCCTGTGGTTCCATACTGTGATCCCACTGTCGCCTTCGTTAACGCTGGGATGAATCAGGTAAATCATAATTTACTTAAAGTAGTTAATTATGCAATGAGTAAATATAGTTCAAAGGTATATTCTTGGGTACCCAAAAACCAAAATACAAACGAGTTTCTAACAGTCAGAAATGTGTTAGAGTTGGTGGTAAGCATAATGACTTGAGAGCTGTGGGAAGTGATGGATATCACCACACCTTCTTTGAAATGTTGGGTAACTGGTCCTTTGGAGACTATTTCAAGGTAAAAAATGTTATGTTTTAGAACCAAGTTAATCCAAATATTCATTTCCAGGCAGATGCTTGTAAACTAGCATGGGATCTACTCATTGATGTATACAAATTACCTAAAAATAAACTGTATGTCACCTATTTCAAGGGTGATAGTAAGTTAGGTGTTCCAGAAGATTTGGAAACTAAAGAAATTTGGAAACAGCTAGGGTAGGACATAAACCACATTGACATGAAGAAAATTCATTTTTCATTTTCAGCATTTCAGATGACAAAATCTTGCCTTTTGGTTCAACAGATAATTTCTGGGAAATGGGACTCACAGGACCTTGTGGGCCATGCACAGAAATACATTATGACCACTTAGGAACCACTAACAGAGCTGAATTTGTGAATAAGGGTTTACATGACCTCACTGAAATATGGAATATAGTTTTCATAGAGTACAATAGGCTTAACAATGGGAAGATTGTAACACTTCCTCACTTACATGTTGATACAGGAATGGGGTTTGAAAGACTGACTTCAATCCTACAGGGCAAAATAAGTAATTATGACACAGATAACTTCAGCTACCTTCTGAAAGCAATACATAAGGTAATATATCTGTATGATCTTGATTTTCAGTCAAAATGGTATTGAAAATAAATATTAGAATTGTAGGAATTTGCCAGTGTACCAAGGGAAATTTGGTGAAAATGATTGGAATAATTTGGATAAGTCTTACAGAACACTGGCAGATCATTCTAGAATGGTATCAGTTTGTTTGGCAGATGGGATAATACCTGAAGAGAAGTGAGACAATTTCATTTTCATATACAGGTTATCCCAGTCCATTGTATATTCAATTTATTGTTTATAGAATCTTTTGAGCATAGTTAATTTTAATATGTGCCCTATGCAGCCCTATGAAAGGATGATATTCGCAATTGTTGCTTTGTTGTTCATTTCACTTTTGTATTCTTAGTATTTACTCATTGTATATTCAATTTATTGTTTATAGAATCTTTTGAGCATAGTTAATTTTAATATGTGCCCTATGCAGCCCTATGAAAGGATGATATTTGCAATTGTTGCTTTGTTGTTCATTTCACTTTTGTATTCTTAGTATTTACTCATTGGTTCCTTAATTGAAACATGGTATTTAGAGAATTTGAAACCATATTCTAATATTTTTATGGGTAATTCAAAGACAATTCAAAGTTATTAAAAAATGAGCAACAATCATCATATCATTCCTTGTCTTTACTTACTCTGAAATATTTTTAGTCAAAAACTGAGAAGGGTATTGAGAAAAGTATTCCTGCTTAGTGAAACTGTGTTCAAAAAGGAAGGACTTCTCAGAGAGCTTTCAAATTATGTAGTGGAAAACTTAGGCCCTGTTTATCCAGAATTGGAAAAAAATATATCAAAGGTAGGAGTGGCTCTTCAACTTCCAATAAACCATTAAGTCAATGGTCAATGTGATATTTTCAGGTCCATCAAATAATTGATTATGAAGAAGAAATATATAAGTCTCTTCAACTAGCTGCTTCCAAAGATTGGGAAATTCTCACAAAAGAGAATCCAAAATTACTGGAAGTTGATGTCATTGAGACCCCTAGTTTCATAGCAGCTTATAAGCAAATAAGTAGTGCTCCTCCAGCTGAAATAACATCAAAGCTGGCTTTCAAACTTTATGACACTTTTGGTATTGATGAAGAAGGGATTGCAAAGATATCTAGTGCTCTAGACCTAAAATTCAATCCACAGGAACTAACAGATGAATTGGAAAAAGCAAAATTGAGGACTAGAGAGAGCATTATCTGTTCCAATAACAATATGTACTTTGATTTAGTGAATGAAGGCATCCCAAAAACCAAAGATAATTACAAATATTCATACTCACAAAATGAGGGTAAATATTTGTTTGAAGGTATAGAAACAAAAGTATTGAAAATATTCAAAGGAAAAGAATCAGTTGACCAAATAAAACAGGACCACTACTGTACCTTGGTACTGGATAAAACCAACTTTTATTCAGAAGCAGGTGGCCAAGTTGGAGATAAAGGGATAATAATATTTGGGCCAGATAGTTTTGAGGTCACTTCTGTTGAAAATTTAAATGGTTACATCTTGCACAAAGGATTTTTCAAATCCAGTGGAAATACTCTATCGAAAAATACTGCTGGAAAAATATACCTAGATGATGAGTTCAGACTAAGTTGTATGAGAAACCACACTAGCACCCATTTATTGAATGCAGCTTTGAAGAGAATTAAGGGTGCTACCTGCCAGAAATCTAGCAAAGTTACAGACAAGTACTTGAATTTTGATGTGGCAATATTTGGAGATAAGCTGTCAATAGAAGAAACTGATGCTATTGAAAAAATGATATTAGATATTGTGAAAAAAGAGAAGCCAGTAAATATTAGTGAAGTAAATAGCCAGCAGCTTTTAGAATTTGATGACTTGACTTTGATTCCTGGTGAAATATATCCTGATAATGGCATCAGGATTGTTGAAGTCAAAGTTGATGAGTTTTTATCTAGGTTTGTCCTGTTTTTCAGTTTTACTTAAATAGTCATATCATATTTAAGGCAATACAAAAGTGATTGTATATAATGTGCCAAATATTTCTAGAAATGAGTAAAACACCAGGGAAAATTTTTGAAAAAATCAGTTATCTGCCAAAATACTGAACTTATTGAAATCGGCAGAAACAAGTATTTTTGCAAAATTTTGAAGCCGTTTTTTATTTGCAGTAAAATTCTTTTTGTGATTCAACAGAATTCTTCACAGTACTTTTCATTTTTTTTTCTATTTGTTTATTTCATGAATGGCAAGGAATACAGTATTCTCCAATGATTTTGCCTGTTTCCTCCATTTTGCCCACATCAATGCATTTTGTCCAGGACGGAAAAATTAAATGGCATTTTCCATTCTAATTTGAATATCAATTATATTTGAATCCAAAAAATCTATAAAAAATTCACAATATTGTTTTCTTCATCAGAATTGATTAAGACCTTTAGCAGGTGACTAATTATTATATCTAAAAATATTCACTGTCCTGCTATTTATTTGTAGAAAAGGTAAATGAAATCTCTAGTACATCCGCCAATGGATTCTTGTTACACTGAAAAGCAGTGTGCTATATTTGAAAAGAGCCATGTTTTCGATTTTGAGGACAGTTTGTCACTCAGAAGAGCCTTTATTTGACGATTATCACTATCACCTCTCAAAATTACATAAATTTTGAGAGGTGATAGTGATAAAAGAGATTTTGGATTTTTGCATAAGTGCTCAAAGAAACAAGTGTTGAAGTTGTCGATGATTTCAACGCAATATGAATCCATTTTCTAGGATGTGTTTCATCGAATAGAGTGGCAAAATACGTTGAATGTGACTTGCATAATTTCAAAATCGCAAATGATGCGATAAAAAACTAAAAATTATCGATTTTCAACATCCTGTATATGAGGAATATGGAAAATTACAAAACGGTTTCGCGATATTGGCTTGACCGTTCCGAAAAAACGCGTAATATGAAAATAAAAAAAATCCCTGGAATACAGAAGCGTTTGAATTGTTTCAATTTTGTAATACTTTTTTCAAATACTTGGTGTATAATGACAGAAAAACTCCCGACAAGTTTTGAACGAGGAATCTCGAACAGAAAGATCGCATCTTCCAAGCACTGCATTCCGATTGAAAATCCATTCATTTTCTAAAAAGATATGGCAGTTTGAGAATTAATTCAAAATGATTGCAATATTTTTAGAGAACCTTGTTGTGGTACCCATGTTCAGAACACCATGGATATAAAGGACTTTTGTATAGTCAACGTGAAATCTTTAGGTAGAAGTACTACTTCTATAACTGCCGTTACAGGAGACAGAGCAGAAATGGCCAGAAAATATGGCATGGAATTATCAGAAGAAATAGATTCTCTGAAAATGAATATTAATGATAATATTGATAAGGTATTGTTTATTATCCAGTAAATATTCATTTCTTCTTGAGTTTTTTCATAGAATACTGAAAGCTTTTGAGTAATAATACAGTGATAAATATTAGTCCCGTTTTTTAGCCGGAAATGTTGGAAATAATAGTATCAACTATCAAGAAAAAACTGAATTTCAATATGGAAGATGATTCAGTTATACCCTTATCAGTCAAGTTAGAATGTATTGGAAAACTTGAATTAATCACCAAACAAATCAATGATGCTGTGAAAGAAAACTTGAGGTAAACATTTAGAATCCACCATGCCAACAGACTATACAAAAATTTTTAGGGATTTCATTGAAATCGAAATGAAAAATGCTTTAGACTCAAAAGTAAAAACTACTGGATCAAACCAGAAATACATAATTCATTATTTGAGAAGCTCTATGATGCTGGAAAAAGTGCCACTGCAGAAAGCAACAAAATTGTGTCCAGATATCCCAATTTTAGTGATATCATATGCTGATAATACAGTGAAGGCTAGATGTTGTGTTCCTAAGGTGAAACCACATTATTTCTATACTTTTTTTACGATTATGATCAAATAAATTGCAATTTGTTTTTTTTTATAGAATTTAAAGACTGATAAATTTAATGCGGAAATATGGATGAAGCAAACTGTAGCGTCAGTTTTCAACAGTAGAGCAGCTCCACCTAAAGGTCAGGATGGCACCTTAGTCTGTAATATGAAAGCAAAAAAAGTGCACGTACAAGAGTGGGATCCCCTGCTTAGAGACAGCTTGGATAAAGCACAAAAATACATTGAAGAAAACATTTGAAGCAAAAAAGTCACAATGTTTCGGAACTAGTCAATGGAAGTTCAAGATAATAAATATAAGTATAATGCTCCCTATCAACGGAAATACTATTTAAAACTGTCTGTAGAGAAATCGAAATATTATTGTTGAAATTGCATCTAAGCAAGATAGAGATATTTTTTCTCAGTGTATGTTTTCTGTCGATCATCTGATATTATTTTTTATATAAATAAAATGCCTTTTTATAATTTCATTGTTTTATTTTAATACATTATCAACAAGCTTCAACACTTAATGCAAACATTTAGATTTAGTTAACCTTCATAGTTTTATAAAAACTGGCCAATGACAGGTAACCTGAAATGATCAAAGCAGATGGCACTGGTGATGTTGAGGGTCATATGATCTGTCAATATGGAAAGATTCGGAGTCACTCAAAAACAATTAAGCAGGTTTTATAAATGTTGGATCATCAAAACTATCTCGGATTGATGATTTGGTATCCTAAGATATCAATTTTGAAAGGACTAATCTACAGGATCCAAACTATGAACAGATTTGAATGTCTCGCCTTATTTAGTGGCGTTTTGTCACCTGTTGATGAATTATTCAAAAAAATCTAAATTCAAACTGGAACTTTGACAACCTGTATCTTTGTTATTATCATCTTTTGGACTGAGGTAAGTTTGGATGAATCTTTTTATTGAAGGAATCTGCAGTTTTGCTGATATCATTTTTATATTTACTGACCATTTCCCTACATTTTTTGTCTAAAACGTTTTGTTCTAGCTATAAAAATAAAGCGGTGGGAGAAGTTTAATTGTTTTTTCAAACAAACCAAGATTTCTCCCGTTTATTTCGAGCGATTTCAGCAAACTTAGGCTCATATGAAAGAGCATAATCTGGCCTACAAAACGCTTGTTTGGTTTTGAATTTTTGACTTTTGCTGTCGCCGCTGGATGGCGTTAACTGAAATGTTAGCAAATTTTTGAGTTTTTTTCAAAAAAAAAAACAAATGTCATGGTATATAAATTTTTATATTTTTTTGAAGAGGATAAATTTCTCTATAATTTAATGAAAATAATTCATCATCTTCCTTTTTTTGAACCGTTGATATTGACCATAATATAATTTTATTACATTAAAAAATGGAACGCCACTGTTTTTCATCAAAATAAAAATCAGTTTTGTAATCTCTCATTAGTTGCTAACAAAAAGAACCTCCTGACTTTTTTTCGTTAGACAAACGGTTTTGGATTGAAAAAATAATATAGGTTTACATACTGGTTCAAAATTATTTTAGATATGGGCGCCCCATGTAAACCTATTTTATTTTTTCAATCCAAAACCGTTTGTCTAACGAAAAAAAGTCATGAGGTTCTTTTTGTTAGCAACTAATGAGAGATTACAAAACTGATTTTTATTTTGATAAAAAACAGTGGCGTGCCATTTTTTAATGTAATAAAATTATATTATGGTCAATATAAACGGTTCAAAAAAAGGTAGATGATAAATTATTTTCATCTAATTATAGAGAAACTTATCCTCTTCCAAAACATATAGATATTTATATACCATTATATTTGTTTTTTTTTTGAAAAAAACTCAAAAATTTGCTAACATTTCAGTTAACGCCATCTAGCGGCGACAGCAAAAGTCAAAAATTCAAAACCAAATAAGCGTTTTGCAGGGCAAATTATGCTCTTTCATTTGAGCCTGAGAATCGGTCGAAATAAACGGGATGAATCTTGGTTTGTTTGAAAAAACAATTGAACTTCCCCCACTGCTTTATTTTGATAGCTAGAACAAAACGTTTTAGAAAAAAATGAAGGGAAATGGTCAGTAAATATGAAAATGATATCATCGATATACTTTCATGAGACAAAATTCTATAAAAATTGCATTTTTCTACTTGGTGTTGATTGTTACGCCCTCTAGCGGACGTTTGACAAACTCGAAAATAATTTCCAGCAATTTCTCTTGGCGACTTTTATCATGATTTTTTTTTCTCAAATCTATACGACCAATATCTTATGAGATATGGCCGCTCGCTACCCTGTACATGATAGATGACCTCCCAACAGCACTAGTGCCGCCACGCGGGAACAATATCGGACATTCCAGCCACTGAGAAAGACATGCCTTTTTACAGGGATGCTACAAATTTGAACTTCCAACTGAAACAATAACTTGTCTAGTCTTTCAATTCTTTTTGAGGCAACGTTCATACCTAAACAATTATAAAAAATGAATAAACATTTCCTTTCAACGGGCATTGATAGGCTAGATCGTATTGGATTAATACAGGAAGTTTCGTCTAGAATGGCATTACCTTATTACTGAGGATCGAATTCTTTCTCGGATTCAACACATCCATGTAATTTTAATTTGCGCCTTTCAGAAATTCATCACCATTTCCTTTATGGAAATATTTCCTGAAATGTAAATTCTGCTAACGAAATTCTCTGATTACACCCAAAATATTTCAGGTTTGACTCAATCGGTGAGTAGCATGATATTAGTGTGAAAATTTCCTATTGCTCACGTCGATCTATGAATAATTATTGTACTTCGCTGTTTTATTTCAATGAGCTGAAACAATACACTAAAAAAACAATTTTATAAAAATAAACCTCTGGCGGCATAATTCGCACACAAAATTTTCAACTTCTGAAAACTATATAATGGTTACTACACCTTGTACAGTCTTAATCTAATGTGACAACAACAACAACGTCCACGACTACATGTATTATAAAAAAATAATCTAAAACAACCTTATGCGACTATCTATTCAATATAATTTCGTCAACAACTGTGTAGCTTGAAAACATACATTTATTGCTAGAGTTTAGATATTCTTGTGAAATTATTTCCCTAAGTACTAGTGAGGGGTCCGAACAAGTAGACGCATTGGTGCGTGTTTTTGCACTAAGTTTTTCATGCATCTTCCAGGATTTTTGGCTTGACAAGTTTCAATACGGCACAACCTAAGTACTTGTATACTTTGTGAATGAAATTATACAATTCAACAATTCATTGGAACATTATGAAATGATAAAGGCGATCCAAAGTTACATTTGAAAGGTCTCTCAGCCTCATATTTTTACTGTACAAATATATACTTTTCAGATGTAACTCTCATAGAAACAAATTAGAAATTCCTCGACGAAGAATGCTACAATGTGCCACTTTGACTATTATTCGGCCTTTGGGGATGCTTGATATCCTCGAGTTGTATGAGCTGTAAAAATGAAAAATATGCTATCCATCACTGTAAAATGGAACGTATCAGGGGTTGAGTGGGGTTGGAAAAATAATTCGGAATTAGTGACGGAGACTTGGCTTTTAACTGCCCGGAACTTGAGGTCCCTACATATCATAACTAAGCATATACATAGCGAGTCTCTATCATCATACTTCAGTTCCTACAAGCGTATTTATAGAAAAGTGATCAAAAATGCAAAAGAGATATACTACAAAAAAAGAATAAATAGTTCTCGAAACAAAACAAGAGAAAACTGGATGATAATAAATGAACTGAGAGGTAAAACCTCATTACCGCGAAATATTGATATCGATCCTGACATATTGAACAACTACTACTGCTCAATAGGTCATAAACTTACATCTAGCTTGAATCCACAGATTGATCCTTTAGACTATCTAATGCATGTCAGCATTGTAGATAACTTTCACATTGAAGACACTAACATAATTGAGCTTAAAGATGTTCTCGAAGAAATAACTAATAAAAGTTCATCAGGCATAGATGGATTATCAGTCAAAATATTTCAGAATCTACCCGACTATGTTCTTCTCATTTTGGTGAATGCGATTAATATATCTTTCAGAACGGGAAAGTTCCCATCCTGCCTAAAACAAGCAGTTGTTATACCTCTCCATAAGGGCTGTGACCTGAACGAACCCGCAAATTATCGGCCAATTTCACTTTTGTCGACATTATCAAAAATTATAGAAAAATTAGTCAAAAGGAGAATGATGAAACATCTTATGAATAATAATATAATAAACCATTGTCAATTTGGATTTCAAAGCGGTAAAAACACAAATGATGCAATATTTTCTTTACTGGAAAATGCATATCTAACTCTGAATGATGGAGAAGCAGCTGCAGCAGTATTCTGCGATTTCTCAAAGGCTTTCGATTGTGTTAACCATGAATTACTGCTGCAAAAGCTAGAGCTTTATGGATATAGGAATTCCTCATTGAACTGGTTTCGCACATACCTATCAGAAAGGAGTCAGGTAGTTAAAATCAAAGATGACCAATCTCGCAGGGGCAAAGTTTCAATGGGCGTACCTCAGGGGTCAGTATTGGGTCCAATCCTGTTTCTATTGTATGTAAATGACCTAGCCACTATTCGTATTGAGGGAAAGTTCACCTTTTTCGCAGATGATACTACCATTCTATGGCACGGAAAGGACATAAATCATTTGAAAGAAGTAATTGCTCTTGATCTCACTAAAATAAAGCAATGGTGTGATTCCAATTCACTATGCTTTAACTTAAGCAAAACAAATCTAATCTCCTTTAAGTTCAACTTTGATAATTTACTCTTAGAAGACCATATAATTACGAATAAACCAAATATTAAGTTTTTAGGTATGCATATAGACAACAAATTGAAATTTGATGAACATATCACGAGCTTAAATAAGAAGATATCCTCTAGTTGCTTCGCAGTTAAAGTTGTTTCAAAGGAACTAAATTCAGCTTCAGCTAGGTTAGTATATTTCTCCTTAATTGAGTCCCACTTGATGTACGGCATTGCATTCTGGGGATTGTGCAGTGATCATTTGTTCGACTCAGTGTTTGTATTACAAAAAAGAGCAATTCGCTACCTGAGCAAAGCCCAGTACCGTGATCACTGTAAACCATTATTCATCAATCAAAGGATTTTGACTCTATCTTGTTTATTCATACTGGAAACTGTATGCCTGATGCACAAGAAATATGTCACTTCAACATTACCTATAACTGAAACCAGAAAATATGAGACAAGAAACAAAGGTTGTATTCCTTTACCTATACCCAAATCTAGTCTAACTAGAAACTCTGTCATGTACGAAAGCAAAAAAATGTATAACCATCTACCAATAGCTTACAGAAATATACCTTGCCCAAAGAAGTTCAAAAAAAAAGTGAAAGATATACTTTTACAGAGGGCTTACTATAACCTGCAGGAGTATTACAATGACATACTCTAGTTTCTATTGTAATTTCCATTTCTATAATTGTGTTATATTTTAATATATTTTAATCTGTTATGATTTTTAACAATGTGATATCATGCGAAAAATGTGATTCTGATTTTAATTGTATTATCTATATGAGATAGTTGCAAGTTGACGACTCTCCAAAATTTCATTTTGGTGATATATATATTGTTTCTTTTTAACATGTCTCTTATTTTATTTTAATTGTATTCATTTGCATCTGTTATGTTCTATATTATACTATATTATATAATTTACTGAAACATGCTTTGTCAATAAGATTGAAATCTTCGACAATAAAGTATATTTTTGATTGATTTGATTGATTGAATTTTCACTTGCAGTTTTGCGAGAAATTGTTCAGTATCACCTTCGTCTGAAATAACATAACACACTGTAGTATCCTATCGTACAGAATAAAATGATTTTCGGTGTTCATATAGCAAAAAGCATGGTGCCGAAAATCATAGTTTCAACAACTAAATTTGGAAATTTCACAGTTATCAAATGCATCGAATATGAAATACAACGATCACTAAGATTTCTTTACCTGAAATAACGTAACACCAGGTAAAAATCACAATAAATGTATGAACAAGAATTAGCGGTTTCAAATACCAACAGGGTTGCCACTTTCGAAAAAAATGAGTACCACCAGAATCAAAGTCATATGGTGACTTAATTTTCTTGATGGATGAGCATTTAAAACCGATATCATCCGTATTTCGTAACGGAAAATTTTTTTAAGGCAAAAAATTGACTTCCGAATCTCCGAAAGAATGGGCAGCAAGACTCCGAGAATTAGTAGCTGTTTGTGAATTTGGAGGTGCTATAGCAAAATAGAAATGCTTACTTTATATAATTATATTAATCACCTTATATAATATATTTCATAGTGGATCAAGTGACTCTTCGAGAAAAAGGTTGTCATTATGAATTTTGTACGTCTGTTTCAATAAAGAAGAAATTCAGTTTCATAAAGATATTATTCTGAATAATAATATACAGGGCGTTTCTTAAGTACGTGTAGAAAATTCAGGAGTATATTGCTGGCGTCAAAATAAGAAGAAAAGTTCGTATAAATATATGTCCGTAAGTTATTCGTTTCTGAGATACAGAACAGTGTGAAATTTGAATTCTTATTTTTGTTTTTTGTTAATAAATTTCAATATAATTGTGATATTCGAATTGACTTCGGTATCTCGAGGTAGTTTTCAATGACAATATCAAATTTTCTGTTAGTTCGTCTCTTTCGTGGGTGGCGCCACCTACATGTCTTTTGAGTCTTTTTTGTGCGTACCTGTATAGTAAAGAAATAGATTTCTAGAACACTTTGGGATTTGAAATAACCAATGCAAGTAATTTGGAATCACAAGAAGCTGGAATTCAAAACTGATTTATAAAGTAAGGGGAATTAATTTTTTTTAAATTTCATTTTGAAATAGGAATCAGGTGTTGATACAATTCAATACTATGATAATAATAAGAGTAATTAAGACAAAATTAATACTAAAACACTTAGTTGAGGGAATTGATTGAAGTAGTTGTTCAAAGTGGCTGAGAAAGTAGGTTCAAATTCAAATGCATCGATTTTTTCATATCCCAATAACTCGAAAACAGTTGCTCGCAGCGACTTCTACCAAGAATATATTTTTTACACAAAAGTGTTCTAGAAATATATTTTTCTACTATGAACCGTGATACAGGTACGCAGAAAAGGATTGACTTTTCAAAAGACATGTAGGTGGCGCCACCACCACGAAAGAGACAAACTGACATAAAATTTGATATAGTCATACATCCGAATATCAGAATTATTCTGAAATTTATTTACAAAAAACAAAAATAAGAATTTAACTTCGACACTCTGTATCTCAGAAACGAATAACTTTCGGATATATATTTATACGAACTGTTCTTCTTATTTTGAGGTCAGCAACATGCTCCTGAATTTTCTACACGTACTTAAGAAACACCCTGTATAGTAATCAGGATATAACAATAATGATCATTGATGTTTATTCAAGGGCTTCAACGAGAGCGCCATGGGTGGAAGCTATTAAATAATATTCCCGAACAGTCTGAGATAGGAAGTCGACGGAAATAGTATATTGTGAGTGAGAAAAGTACTTTCCCCCACATGTTGCACACTATACTTTTTCTACAACTGCACTTATCCAAAGAATCCAAGTAATGTAACTTATTGGTATTCATTTTATAATGTGACACTATGCCACATTGAATATTGTGACCAAAGAGTAGACGCCTTTCCTAATTCCTCAAAGTATTTCAAAAAAGTACACTTACCGAAAAAGGTTTTATTTCTGTATATTTTCAGATTCCATAAATTTTTCGTTCATGCCAATTCATACTTTTTTCTCGAAATTTCCGGAAACAAATTCAACTTTCGCAGCTTCTTCCATTATCTCTGTCTATGGCGGTGTATTTATCAAAATCGTAACATCTCGGTATATTCATCATATTATTTATTATGAATTTTTGGAATGATATTTGATGGAAAATGCGATTTTTATCAAAAGCACTAATGAGAACTACCCTAAAGAATTTCAAAAACTTCTTCTGACAGTTGTGACAACTATTCAAAGCTGAACAGCAGCCAAGTTTTGGTCGATTTTTGTAGATTCTCCATGGAAATGTATGTGGTGTTGGCAAAGTGCCATGAGAAAAAATATTTCTCACAGTATGAGCAATACATGGTTTTGAAACTAAGTAAGCTATGAGAAATGCGCTACTTTTCATAGCAGTAGTAGAAAAACAGCTTATCATCATCAGCATGCACCCATTCGTCCGACCCATTCATCGGAAACTCACCATTTCGATGGGGATGCAAGACAATTCGCCCCCCTGCTGGGGCGGCGGCAGAGGCTGGGCGGCGGGCGGTGTCACCGAGGTCTTCGCCGCCTTCTCTTGGGCCTCTCGGGCGCGCCGCTCCTTCAGCTTTAGCGAGAAAATAGCCACGGACCGCGCGCGCTTCATCAAACTCTGCTTCACTCGGGTCTTTTTCGCTGCCAGTTCTTCGGCAGCTGAAAAATCACATGCGTTATATGAGGGGTTCAAAGCTGAAGTGAACCAAGTCCATAATAGGCTGGGGAGGTCTATATAAACAAGCGTTGGAACCACTTATATCAATTCAAAAATATACCTTGAAAAAACCTTTCGATTATTCTTCCAAAATCCTCTTTGAACATTATAACATTTTATCTGTTGATCGATTGTTTTATAAAACATCAACAATATACATGACAATAATCATGTAAAACATGAATATGACACCAAAAATAAAAGTGATGGTTGAATATCAACTGAGAAATACTATCTGCAGGTTAATCGAGGAGGTAGTACATTCATTTTACTTGATTCTTTGGGATTTTCTCCTCGTTTCTATAAAATAAAAATATTCGTATTATTTTAATATATTTGTAGAGGGCAAATCAGGTGATTTGCCCCGAAATGTCACTGCGTTTAACAAATTTTTCTATCAGAGAGTCTAAAAGAAAAATCCAGTAGCTTGTCAGTGACAATTTGTTTGAAAAACTGTTTGAAGTAAATAAATATAGATATATTGAAGAAATATCGAATTTTTACTCATCTTTGGAAGTTTCGGGACCGAATCTGCTCCCGTTCTCAACATGTAAATGAAAGTTGTGCTGCTTATAGTTTGACACTTTTCAGTGTCATACTGATGTTGGCATATGGATGAGTGATTTTAGTCTACAAATGAGTCACAGGATGTTTTCATTAAATGATCTTGAATCTACCATTTTCATGTTCAGTTTTAAGTAGTGAATACCATGTTCTTTATATATCAACTGAACAGGAAGCGATGCTATTGTCTCCGCTTTGAAAAATGCAAGCGTATTCCTTGATTTTTCTTTTTTGGTTATCTTCCTTTCCTATGATTTTGATATTATTCCACTCTGCCATAATAATATGTTGTCCATCTTCAGTAAGGATATGTTCAGTTAGCTTCGATTTATTGATATGTCTTTTCTTAATATTGTACTTGTGTTTGTGGAAAGTATTATACAGGTGAAACCAAAAGACCTCTCTCAGTAAGGACTAAAGAACACAAGTATTCTTCTGTCGAAATTTGGAAATTCAAGATGTCGGACCCAATGTGGTGGACGAGTTTTGTAATTATGATCCGACTCTATTCACAATTGGCATCTGGGGGTTTCCGGGATCATAGATTATAATTATTTCGTCAAAATTTTGAAATTCAAGATGGAGGATCCAATATGGCAGACGAATTTTGTATTTATGGTCATATTCAATCAAAATTGGTAACAGGGGGTTTTTGAGATCTGAGATTATGATTCCTTCGTCTAAACTAGGAATTCAAAATGGCGGATGTAATATCACAGACCAGTTTTTTTATTATGATCAATTCTATTTAGAATTGGTATCTGGGGGTTTCAGGACTCGGAGATAATGATTCTTCCGTCAAAATTTGTAAATCCAAGATGGGGTCGCAAATTATAATTCTTTCATCAACATTTGGAAATTCAAGATGGCGAATCCAATATGGCGGACGGGTTCTGTAACTACACATTCCAATTCTAATCAAGATTAGTATATGGGTGTTTTCGGGGTAGGAGATTATGATTCTTTCGTCAAAATTGAGAAATTTAAGATGGCGGAACCGATATAGCGAACAAGTTGTTATTATGATCCAATTCTATTCAAAATTGGTATCTGGGATTTTCAGGGTCGGAGATTATGATCTGTTTCTTCAAAATTGGGAAATTCAAGATGGCGGATCCAATATGACGAACTAGCTTTGTAATAAATATTAGTTTGAAAAACTATAATGCAACACGCTTCAATAGATTGCCAAACTCGAGGCCAAACTGAAAAGAAGTAGAAAATTGATAGTATAGTTTAAAAACTGGAGGAACACGATTTTATGGATAGTCAAACTAAGAAGAAATAGGAAATTAAATGACAAAAGTGTGTTGGTATTCAACTGAAAAAATATTTTCTCGAAATAGTGTTTATGGCAAAACATCGTTTGCCGGGTTAGTTAATAATAATAATAATAACTATTCTCACCTCTGGCCACCTCGTCGACCGCCTCCTGGCTGGACGACGCGCTTTTGGCGCTGTCGCTGAGCGACGGGTCGGCCGGCAGCATGGGCCGTGCCCGGGCGGGCACGGGGTTGGGCGGCGACCGCGGCCTGGGCGGCCACATCGGCCCGCCCTTCAGCAGGTCCGAGTCGGAGCTGGACGCGTCCTGCGGAACAGCGATTCATGCAGGCTAAATTAATTTTATATGTATGACAGAGTGCCAACAATAGTACATCTAATAAATGTATGCATTGAAGAGTATTCAAATTATCCCAGATAACACCTGTTTGAAGACACAAGTCGTTAGCGCCGCTATTGAATAGCCGAGTTTGAAGAAAAGTAAAACAGCAAATGAAATTGCTCATCAGCTACATCATATTTTCTTTCAAATTTCAACTGTAACCTCAACGACTGTAATTTTTTTTTGAAATGTCACTGAAATGAATGTCAGTTTTTCATTCGTTAATTATTTCAACACAGCATGTGATTTTAAAGTATGCTGTGGAAAAAATATATAAAATAAAAATGGTTTACATTGGCAAAAAAAACTTCAATCACCTGCAGCTGGCATGGAAGAATGATAATTTATTATTCTTATATATAGCATAATAAATGAGGATTATAAAATTATGGGTGTATAGAAAATAACAATGATGCTGGAAGCTCGTTTTTGAGGTTAATCATTCCAATTTGAATTTCTGTTATTTTTGTAGTTTTTTGTACATCGCCACTTCGAAGTTGGGAACCAGCTTTCTAGAAGTCAAAACTTCTGCGGGTTTAGGAAGAGCGGAACTTACAGCTTATAGTTGAATTCGAAACCCAGAGGGTCGAGGTGCTGCCAGGATTACAACCAAGAACCACACACATTTTCAAGAAAAATGCTCACCTTCGCTTCGTGAACGGCTACCTAGCGAATATAAGCGCATATACAACGAGCCCATTGAAAGGTTGAAGAGATATTTTAGTATCTCCAAGAAATTGATGCTCAAGTCTCGTAACAGTGGTTGTAAACCAGATTCACACCATACTGAGATGTATTTGGTTTACATTTTCGTTGATGGTTTGAGGTTAGACCATACTGACAGCTTTCTTCATATTCTTATTTTAGGGCACCAAGAAGTGAAGAAAAGAATTCAAGAAATTCATCATAGACAAATATCCCCAAATGTCACTAGATCTAGGTAGTACAGCACTAGTACAGCATAGTCTGCTCCATTAATAATTCTAAATTGCTGTATTTTGAAAATTGAAATAATTCCTCATCAGAAACCTAATACTAGGAACTTGAATAATAATTCTGATATTTCATTAGAAGGAAACCTCCTCATTGTGATTGATGAGTTCAATGATTACATTTCGAGATTTAGACAATGGATCAACCTTATGGAAGAAATCAATTTTCGTAAGTATTGGGAGTATCAAAAAGTGGTGTACTCTAACATAATAGGGATTCCCTTTCATGCTCTCCAAGAGATAAAAAAAGGGTTATCTTACTTTAGGCGCTATGCAATCAGTACTACGATGGATGTCGGCCTCTTCTTTGAGCCTTCTGGCCCATTCTATAGCCCCTCCAGGCCCGATAGTGAGGTGATGCGTGTTTTCAGCCTGAAAATGATGATTTTTGAATCGAAATGCACTTGAATATACTACTACAATAATTAGTTATACTTCAAGGTAGTAAAGAATATCATTATTACCCTAGGACCAAGATTATATCCTGATGCTTCAGCCGAGGGGTATAAGGTCGCGTGGTATTAATATTCTTTAATACCAAGGTGTATATACAAGGTGGCATTGAAATAAGTGCAAATATTTCAAACACTGAGAAAGCTCGACGTGTACTATCGAATGGCACTAATAAGAAAAATTTAGGGATCAATAAAATTTGAGGTTAGACTCCTTTTTCCATCCAAAGTTCTACACTGTAGCAAATCTGACGTAACCTCTGGTCAAATTTCCATGCGGTAGGCACAATCACGCGGAGTTCAATCATTTAATTTTTTCCTCGTATTTTGTTCAGTTTTTGGGATGAAATTCCTCGTTAATTATAAGAATTGGAAAAAATCTGATATCATGGGAATATTCCTTAGACTATATCATATTAATGTGCTGAATATGTGCACTTATTTCATAAACACCTTGTATATTACATTTTTCTCACCAATTGCAATATATCTTTATAGTTCTGTGAAACTGGAATATGGACCTATGTCACTATGAAAGCACTTCATTTCAATTCTAATTAAAATCTAGTTGCCATGACCATAGCTAGTGGTGGAAAAAGTATGTATTTTAAGGTTAATATAAACCGAACATATTTGACGAAAAAAGGCTTATATCTGGATTTTCTGGATTGGAGAAGAGAAGCTCAAGTATAATCTGATAATTTGAATTAATGCGAAAAGTCTCACAAATATATTTTCTCAATATGATCTTTTGAATATAGACAGTAGTAATAATTAAGGTCCCTTGATGCAGTGGCGGCTCCTCAGAGGAGGCAACGAAGGAGGAGGCAACGGAGGCTGAGCCTCCTCAGAGATTTTCCTTAAACTAATATTATCTATACTTTCTTATTTAAAGGACACCAAAATACATCGATTTTGATTTTATTTCCTGTTTTTAGTTAAATATTTCTGAATTGGCAACAGTGCTTGCACACGCATCACACGTTGAAGTCTGCAAATCACGCGTAAAACATTCAACTTGGCAACATCTATAGGAGGCTAGACTCCGTCACAATTCGCAACCTACGCGCGCAATGCAAATGCCCGAATACGCCCGAATAGCACGTGTTTGTCGTGTCTCTTCGTGAATTGCGGACAAACGCGAGTGCATTGTTTATGTTTATGTTTGGTTAATGGTTAGCGGCTCTATAAATCTCTGAAAAATGAGTGTTTTAAACGATTGAGATTCAGTGGAATACTTTTTGGTGAACCCATTCAGTGCTTTGTCTTATAAAGATTAATTGATTGTGAAAAACAAACGTCCGACACCAGGATCAAAAAATCTGATTGTAACAGGTACCAAACAAAATTGTTCGTTCAATTCTGATAATTATAAAAAATATATCTGGTTGACGGGATCTGAGGTAAGGAATAAGCCATTTTGTTGGTACTGCGTATTATTTTCAACCGATAAGTCATCATGTTGAGGGCGATTAGGATATAATGATTTGAAAAATTTCATGTCAGGGACGCCAATACACGAAACCAAAGTCACTAAATGATTAAAAGAGAAAGGAGCGATGATCCTAGTAACAATGATTATAGAAATATATAATATGTATTATCGTTAGTAATGTGTTTGAGTTGTAGGAATCACATCCTGGGTGGGTCAGCCATATATTCAGCTTCAGCAATACTGTAGTAGCACTTTTCCTGCAATATCACTTTGATAGAGTTTTTAAACGTGGATTGATTTCCATGTTTTAGTGTTTCATGAAGTATATTGTAAAGGTCGATTGAGTTTTTGAAAGACTTTTTGTATTTAAATCTTCTTTGGGACCAGATAGAATTTGCATTGTGTGTAAAACGCCACCAATTGACATAACCGATAATTCTCAAATTACCTCAGCCGTGCTCCATTCTTTGGTCTGCCTGGGCCTGAACGGCGGTATCTCCGGTATCTTGTCGATGGTCACTCCCCCTGTATTCCTGTGACCCGAGGTGGACGCGCCCGGTGTGGTGGGGGTCGTCAGCGGCGTAGCATCCTTCGCCGATTCGATTTCCTGCTTCAGCTTCTCCGTGGACCGTTTCAACTTCTCGGCGGACCTTCGCAGGTTCTCGGTCGTCTGCACGATGGAGTGGCTCGGAGAAACGGAGAACCTAGAGAAACATCCGCTCGGTAATGTTGACTGGAGCTATTTAGGCAGGGTGTCCGAAAATTGCAGGGACACAGAGCTACCACGTGTAATACATGTCAAAATAAGTTGATTGGACCCCATTTAAATAGATGAAAAAATGTACCGTTTGTCCGGGAAACTAGAGTTCCTAAATGTACTTGACATTGCTGTTTTGAGGTTTCTTGTATATAGGTCGCGTGCACGAAGACCGACCCTGGAGGCAAAATATTGAAACACAACCTCATTCTTCTGTGATTGAACTAGTTTTTCACAATATTTTGGCATACGAATCGTTTTTTTTTGCGCTATTCATTAATTCGAGCATGCCTTCGCATTGTGCTGTTGTACAATGCACAAAAAATGCAGCAAGAGACTAAAGAATATGATTTTTCAGGTAAATAGTAATCTCACATAGTTATCATTATGAAATGTTGTCATTCCTTATTAAAATTCCTTCTGCCTTCTGTCACTTCTGCAATACAAGCTAATACTGCTAATAGATTGAAAATGTCTACAACACACACGATCGTCAGCATGTCAGACCAGTCCTCCCGATTGATTGCATGAATACAATTTTCTGGCATTATTTTGGAATTTTCAGATGTATTTCTATTAGCTTCTATCGCAGAAAGAATTCCGATGAGAAATCAGAGAAATTACCAAATTTCAAAAATGAAAACTATATGTGAGTGACTATAGCAGGTACTTACTTTTGAATCATATTGTACCAACCGGATTACTTCGTCTTCCGCTGCAGTTTTTGTGCATTTCACAACAGCATAATGTGATGGCATGAGCGAATTGATGAATAGCGGAAAAATACGATTCGTATGCCAAAATAATTGTGAAAAACTATTTCAATCACTTGTAAACAAATAAGTAAAGTGACGTTTGTGTTTCAATATTTTGCCTCCAGTGTCGGTCATCTGACAGTTCTTGCACGCAACCCATTAGAGTACGGACACTAGACAAGCAGTGACAATCAAACATAACCACAAACGATTTTGAAGCAAAACATATGTTTTGCCAGACAAGGACAAGAATATGTTATTCGCTCAGATAAAGGATCGTCGCATCTTCCTTCCTCCACAAGTTCTCTCATCCATCTATCTTTCTCTGTTTTTGATTTTTGTATGAGAGTGCATAGCGCCTCTTCCAGTGGGTAAAAAGGGTACGATAAATTGATTAGAAAATCATTTCTTCTGGAAATATTGAATGATAAGGCTGAAGGACTTCAATGGAGGTCGATATCAAGTTGGTATGTACATATATACCAACGAAATACATATATACTATTCCTATGAAATAAGTCTCTTATATGTAGGTATATATATACGTTCAGTTGAATATTTTTTTATCACAAAAGTTCAGGATGTGGTAAAAGCTGATAAATTTCGTATGGAACAATTTTACTTTTGCAAGAGTAGTAGGTTACTAATAATTAATAAATGAACAAATGATATGGCAACAATAACAGCTGTTTCAGTTAGAATACATAATAAAGGTGAGTTCGGCTCTTTCTCTCAATACGATCCTATTCTTCAACATCAAATATTCCGTTCTGAAGAATACCTGATAAAAATGTGCTGTAAAATGTTTTATATCCTACCAAGAAATTTGAATACTTCGCAAATTTTGTGGCCTGAACCTACATTCCATGCCGGCCGCATCATATTCTGTTTCTATTTTTGTAGAATTACGTTATGCGATGGAAATTCGAATAGAGTGAATTGATTTCCCGTGTTCTCACAGTTGGAAACTGCACAAACTTGCACCTTTCTCCTAATTCTCTCAATTTGTCAAATCTTCATGTCATGTACGTCCGTATACTGTCAGTTCCCGCTTTTTCCATCAATTCATTTGTGGTTAACTCTAAATTAATTGTAGATCGTAGGGTTGAAACTACACTCACCCCCTGCAATTGTTTTCAGAACTTTCTTAGGGGTGGTAATAGCTCGCACCTCTTGATATAAAAGTGCTCACTTCTCACCCTAGGTGTATAATATATTATTTTGAGGGGGTCAACATAATAAGTATGGTATTCACTATGAAATATAAATACTATTAATTACCTTCCGATGAGATTAGACGTAGTTTCTTCGGGCGTCGGGGTACTATTCGTGATTCTGCCAGCCTCTCTTCTAGCCCATTCGATCTTAGCCATTTCGGTAGCTAACCATCCTGGTATATCTGGTATGGCGCAAGTGATGATGAACCGTATCACCAGCATGATGTGCTAAAAGAACCCACGATGAAAATGAATTCGATGCAAATACTGACGGCAAGTTAAAACGTGACACCTCCAACAGCTTTTTTTCCACTACTAACAATTTATATCGACTAAACAATGAAATGTACAATTGGTCATGCCAGTTGATGAAACTCAAGGTAAGTGAATTTTTCAAGATTGTGGTCTTCAATTTTGCCTGATGTTTAACCAAGTGATTGATTAAATAGTATTTTTGATATCTGATGGTTCAGGATTGACTTTCGAATAAGATATTTTAATTTTGCATATGGCTTTGATATACTAGGTACTCTATTTAAAAAAAAATCTGGACTAATTTGGGAAGAATGGATGGTTTTGATGACTTGATAACAAACTCTTTAATTTTTTTCCTGATATAGACATTTTCCTGAATTTAGTTTTGTATGAATAGTTGACTTGTGCAATATATTATTTGGCAGACATAATAAATGCACTTCATTACTGTACTGAGAATTACCAAAAAAAGGCTGCAATGGTGGACGATTTATAATTCTTTCAATATCTGATGAATAATTTGGGGATCTTGTTCCAAAAATAGTTTCAACAAAATTTCTGTCCTATATAAAAAGGCATTGAAAGTACTGTGTCGTCTTCCATATGATACACCAACAAATCAACTGTATAAAGAAAAAACGTTTTCTTTGGAAGAGCACTTTTTTATCAATACTCTTAAAATTTCCTATTATATCACCAACAAAAAGCTTTAATCAAATTTTATATTGATAAGGAATTTCCAAATTCATGATGATCACATTAGACAATATAACTTAGTTCCATCTTGAAGCTGCAAATTCTAAACTTGGCCAACAAAGTTTACACATGAGGCGATTTCGAAATTCAATAAATTACCAGATGATAAACAAACTAAATATTATACAATGAAAAATAAAGTGAAGAAATTCATTTTGATAGAAAGAAATGATCAAATCTCACAGACTTTATGAATTTCCTTTTTTTTTTCTTCGATTTTTTTTCTCTCATCTTGTTCATTGTCATTCCTACTAGAAAATTAATAATACTTGGTATATTATTATTTGTATAAAATGTAACAATGAAGAACAAAATGTAACACAATAACTAGAATAATAGATAATAAAAAAATAATGATTATACACAGAAGTCAACTTGACTTTGGTAAATCACTCTGTATATTCGTGGTTACCTCTAGAGCGACGATCAACAGTATCGTCTGAGTCGCCGTCATATCCGAAAACATTCGATGTACTTGGCCGGATAGCCCTATCAGGGCGCAATTCACCAAGACGGCCATGATGCTCATGTATTCCATGCAATTCTAAAAAAAACAACATAATTTTCAAGTGATATAAGCTTGTCTTCCTACTACAAACACTGCATATGGAGAGTACTTTTGAACAATGTTCATCATTATTTTCCTAAAGAAAACATAGAAACGCTGAGAGAAGAAAAATCTCTATTTTCTCAATGTGAAATAATGAAAATTTCATGTTGGCAAAGATAATACATACACTAGCTGATTCGTTGACCAAATATAAATATCGGAGTCGGTGAAATAGGCAACGTTGTAATGAATAGATGTTACGCCCCAACTGAGCCCATTCTAACCTCAATATGAAAAACCAATGGGTTGTGTGCAAGAACTGTCAGATGACCGACCCTGAAGGTGGAACATTGAAACACAACCTCACTTTTCTTATTTGTTTACAAATGATTGGAATAGTTTTTCACAATCATTTTGGAATACGAATCGTGTTTTTCGGCTATTCATTGATTCGCACATGCCATCACATTGTGCTGTTGTACAATGCACAAAAAAATGCAGCGGGAGACGAAGGAATCCGGTTGGTACATTATGATTTAAAAGTAAGTACCCACTATAGTCACTCACATGTAGTTTTCATTTTGAAATTTCGTAATTTCTCTGATTTCTCATCGGAATTCCTTCGGCAATAGAAGCTAATAGAAATACTCGTGAAGTTTCTAAAATAATGCAAGAAGATGGGATTCATGCAATCAAAGGAGAGAACTGGTCTGACATGCTGACGAAATATGATCGTGTGTGTGTTGTAGACATTTTCAATCTATTAGCAGTATTAGCTTCTATTTCTGTAGTGGTAGAAAGCATTTTAATAAGAAATGACAAAATTTCAAGAAGAAAACTATGTGAGATTACTAATTACCTGAAAAATCATATTCCTCCGTCTCTTGCTGGATTTTTTGTGCATTGTACAACAGCGCAATGAGAAGGCATGCCTATTAATGAATAGCGCAAAAAATACGATTCGTATGCCAAAATATTGTGAAAAACTATTTCAATCCTTTGATACCTCTGTAAACATATAAAAAAAGTGAGGCTGGGTTTCAATGTTTTACAGAAAAGTGAGGTTGTGTTTCAATATTTCACCTCCAGGGTCGGTCATCGTGCACGCGACCTATATACAATTTTCATAATATCAGGTTAGAACCTTGAAGACAGACATTAATAAGATAAATTCGTATTTCGAAATTGCGGATAGTTTCTCTACTGACTATATTATGTGGCTATTAACGTTCTCTCGTGAAAAAAGTTCTCCATTCACAAAAATGTTTAAAGGAAGCCATCTTGACGAAAACACAAATGACACGGTAGTCAGCGCCTTTCAATTATTCCAGTCCCAGCAAAATTGAGAAAAGAATCTATTCAACATCAAGTACAATGTTAATCATTATTTTCTTCAATAAGGCTCCCTCTCGACATTTTCCTGAATAAAAATTGTTCTAGATGCCAATAGAAAGTTGAAGATTACAAGAGAGCAAGTAAATCATCCAAAATTCAAATGATTCTTTCACTTTTCTACTTCCCGTAGAAAAAACGCACCAAGTGGTTGGAATTGAATGCACCATAAAATTATTCACCTGCCATGTTCCAATATTGGGCACTCTCTGTCCGAACGGTCTCTGGCACACATATGCTAGTTTGAAAGCATCACTTCGGATTTCAATAAGGTTGTTCAGCATGGCACATAGAGCGGCAGGAGGAAATGCGGAAGAAAAGAGGATGACATAACCTAATTGAATGGTCATCTCAAGGTGATCGGCGAAGGTTCCATCGTACTAAAATACAAAAAAAAACAGTTCTATAAAACACGGGATCTCCTATAAAACGAATGTAATGTAAGTACTATGAGTGGAAATCTTATGGTCTGTGAGGTTTCAGGATGTTTATAGTTATATTGAGGATAGTATTGATTGAGTAAATCAAATGTTCACGACTAAATAAGGTAGTTAATAATTTGAAGATGTATCTATCAATTGGCAAAGTTTTTTAGATAGAATACTCTCTATCAAATTAACGTTGTATCCGTTGTTGACTGCAATCTGTTTTATGCTATTGAGTTCTTTATTGAAATTTACTTCCGAAAGAGGGACATTCACTAGCCTGTGTATCATACTATTATATGCTGCAATTTTATGTTGATAAGGGTATGTTGAATTATTATGAATAGTGATATCAGTGTGGGAAGGTTTATGGAAAATTGAAAAATCATGTTTATCGTTAATTTTACTTATTGTCAAATCTAAAAAATTGATTGAATTTTCAGTCTCTATTTCTATTGTGAATTTAATGTTTGGATGAATAGTATTTATATATTGATGGAAAGTGTCTAATTGTCTATTGGTTCCTTTAAAGCATACTATAACGTCATCTACGTATCTATACCAATACAAACATTGTTTTATCAATGAATGTTTATGTATTATTCGCTCCAAGTTGTCCATGAAGATTTCAGCAAGTAAAGGGCTCAGTGGATTTCCCATAATCAACCCTTTTGACGCGGAATATATTTTGTTATAAAATTGAAAGTAATTTTGTTTGAGACATATCGACAGAAGGTCTAAGATCTCTTGTTTGATAATCGGATTAACATGGTTTTTATCTAATAACTGCTCAACTGAAAGTATGATATCTTCGGGAGGTTTACTTGGAAAAAGGTTTTGTACATCAAATGAAATGAATTTTGTGTTGTCAGGTAGAGTATAATTTTGAATTTTAGTTAACGAATCATAGGAATTTCTCAAGCTGAATTTTGATTGAAAATCACAATAATTTTTTATCAACGTTATCAATTTTTCTGATAGTTTAACTGAAGGAGCTGTGACAAATGAAACTACTGGGCGAATAGGATAATTTTGTTTGTGTAATTTAATGAGAGAATATTCTCTTTTTCTTCTCTCTCAACACAAGCTGAACTACTATATTCCAATACATGAAGTGTTTAGTGAATGTTTTTTAAAACAAGGATGTTGTGTCACCTAGGGTCCCTTGATGGAAATTGACGTTAAAGTCATCTTAACAGGGTACGGAGAGATCATAGCTGCATTCTTTTTTAATGATCTAGAGACTTTGGTTTTGTCTACTGGCATCCCTGACATTGCTGTCACGTCACATCCATGGGCGCTACAGAAAATCATTCAAAATTTTAATAATAGGTATGTACAGGGTATTTACTTGTTGAGGAAGATCATATGGCGAACGAGTTTTGTAATTATGATCCGATTCTATTCAAAATTGGAAGGTACGTGGGGTATTCCGGGGTTGGAGATGATGATTGTTTCGTGAAACTTGGAAAATTCAAGATGACGGATCTAATATGGCGAAAGACATTAGTTTATATAATTATTACTCTACCACAAATAGAAAATATGTAGGATGCAAGAGTGAAAATAACGTGCCTTTAATTTATACGCGTATACTTAGCGTATACCTACTTCGTTGTTACTTTCATCAATAAATTATTCGAAAATGACTTTAAAAGAGACGGAAAAATCGTGTGTATAACATGGGGGTGAAGTATATTCTATTCTTCATTTTCCTGCACATTTTACTGTTTAATTTTTTATCAGCTTACTTTTCGTCCTTGACGAAGTTTTATACATTGTGTGATATAAGTAACTCGATAAATCCTTCTCCGAGTTGGATTTCTGAAAATAAATTCAGCATACATGACATGAGTACAGTAGTCAAGATACGCACATCGAAGTTTCTACTATTTCTCAATCGTAAGGCTCAGTAAATTCAGCTCATATAAACAAACTACTGCTCTGCTTGAAATCAAAATTCATTCAGTCAATTCAGTCAACCCTGGTAAACAGTCTAAGAACAGTCTCTTTTGTTGAAATATCGCGAAGATTATGCTGGAGTAGTAAACTCTAAAACTAGAGGATTGTTCATTTATATCTTGGTATAGTTGAATTAGGAATTCCATATGGAAATTACGTATGAGTGATCTCAATATAACCTAAAAAACAACGAGTGTCAAAAATCTAGTGTTTATCCCCAGAATTGAATAAGGATGGAACTATATAACTGTTTCACAAACACTTTAGAATGAGAGGAGACGAGGATCTGTCCGTACCCTGTTAAGATGACTTTAACGTCAATTTCCATCAAGGGACCCTAGTGTCACCCATCTTGACGAGTTGAAAAATTAAAATACGAAACAGCCAAATTGGGACGAAACAGCCAAATTGGGACGAAACATACCTTGTATAGGGTGCTCTCCAACTCAGCCTGACTCATAGTCCGTTTGGCGTTCGGCTGATCCACCCCGTCATCGTTGGTACCGCCGTTAGGCGTCTCCTCTTCTTGCCCCGGCAAAGATTTGCGCCCCACGGGGCTCAGAGCGCCCCACAGGTCGAAGCTCATCTTAGCCAATCGCATGTGCTCGAGCAGGTAAGGAAGAGCGGATTCCTTCAGATTGCCGATCACTTGGCGGGCTATGAGCAACGCCGCCAGTTGCTAAATGATACGGAGAAATAAACGCGTGTTCGACGAAAAATTTACAGATTGTTTGCCCAATTGTTACACATAGGGCATGTGAATGCAGTATCAATGAATCAATAGTTTCATAGAGAAAAAAAAACATTTTATTCTGAAAACACCCGGACTACATCAGGCTTAGAGCTGCTAGCAACATGAAAATAAACTGAATGATAAATATAAAATGAAAAATGTCTAGTAACAACAAAAAATCCATATAACATTGTCATACTAATTAAATTTAAATCTCACTTCGAAATCACAATAAATAAACTTCAGTAAGGTTGTAGCATAACTACGTTTCCCTAATTCAGAAACCTACTGTATTAAATAAATGAGTGAGATCTAAAAGCTCTGTATTGTGTGTCATTGATCATCATATGAAATAGCTTTTTGGGCTAGTTATTGTGGGATTGTCTTCTGTCCTCTAAACCCTGGTATTCAGGTAAGTTGTTCTTCAGATTTAAATGTAATTGTTAACCTATTCAGAATGGTATAATATCGGAATTTACGTGTGATATGATATTTCTTTAAATTAGTTGACATTTGTCTAGTTCACTGTCAGGTATTTGATGTCAGATATATTCTAGATATAAACTGATTTTCAATTAAAAACCAAAACGAAGAGTTTGCATTATTGAAACCTCTTTTGGCGCCCAACGCAAATAAAGCAAAGGAAAAAAAGTGAGGAGAAGGGAATCGAACAACAAGGCTGAGCAAGTGAGCATGGAACAGCAGAGTGATGATAGTTTGCTGCATAACTATGATCTGCGAAAAGAAGTGGGTCGGCAGAGATTAGGTGATGATGTGGATCGAAATAAAGAAAGTAGAGGAGAGTTGTAGCATAACAACGTTTTCCTAATCCAGAAACCTACTGTATTAAATGAATGAGTAAGATCTAAAAGCTCTGTATTGTGTGTCATTGATCATCATTTGTATATTATTATGAAATAGCTTTTTGGGCTAGTTATTGCGGGATTGTCTTCTGAGATCATCTACCTTTAATCCCTGGTATTTCAGGTAAGTTGTTCTTCAGAACCTATTCAGATTGGTATAATATCGGAATTTACGTATGATATATTTCTTTAAATTAGTTGACATTTGTCTAGTTCACTGTCAGGTATTTGATGTCAGATATATTTCAGATACGAACTGATTTTCAATAAAAAACCACAACGAAGAGTTTGCATTATTGAAACCTCTTCAAGGTAATACAAAAACGAGCGCAAACAATAATATTGAGTGAAATATTACAGACAAAAATCAATTTTTGCTCCTTTGATTTGCTCAAGAATTCTATGACCTCTTCAACACTTATTGAAATTTCTCGATGAATATTCAGGAGAGCTAGTCCATTGAGCCTTGGTTCTTCCATAGTATTTCTGGGGTAGGAGTTGAGCCGCCTCGTAGTGGAAAATGTCCTCTCATTTGAAGAGGTTGTCAATAGTATAGTGACGAAGATTTTCAAAAGTGTGTAAAGATTGGAAAATAACTAACGATTTTTTTTGTTCGAGGAAAATCAGTGCATCCCTAACATTTCTTGGGTTATTCTCAATATCTTTGGAAAATTTGACACACTTGTTACATTATATACTATTATGGCTCACAAGATCATGCTATTGAAAGTCAGAGTTTCTCATTTTGAACATAACATTTGGGCCAATAAAGATGTGCCAAAAGATAAGTAATCCTTTTTTCAACTCACAGTGGCTGTAGCTTGAAGGGGTTGAATTTTAGGGAACATGTTTTTATTTTTTATTTTATTGTTTATACATCCAACAGGCCTAAATCCCAATTACAGGAGTATATTATACTATCTTATGCAAACCTAGGTATATATGAATGACTATATGTTAGTTCAGAAGTAAATTGGATATTTTTCTCTTGAATTATTTATGGAGTTTTGTAGGATACGACTCTGTATTATCCATATCAGTTTATCTTTTATTTCGAATAAGTTATGTTGCCATAGTAAGATGTAAATATTATTAAGAAAAAATAATAAATCTTCGAGTTGAGGAATATAATTTATATCAAAGATTCATGGAAGTATTTGATGATATCTATTATATTTGGAGAAAAAGTCTTATTTTGATCCCAACATAATAATAATAATAATAATAATAATAATAATAATAATAATACTTTATTTCCACTTCGACAAATAACATTGTATGGGAATTGTCAATAAGATATAAGATATAAATCAGTAGTAGAAAATGATGAAAGAGCTAGATAGAGAAGAGAAAATAGTGATAGAATAGAATCGATAATACCTAAAACTAATCTTATTCTAAAAATTCTGAAATTGTATAAAAACATGCTTCCAATAAATAGTGTTTCAACATCTTTTTGAACATAATGATGTGTTTCACAGACCTCAAATCTTCAGGAAGTTTATTGAATACTTTAGGTCCAATGCAGTCCGGGGTAGATGAACTCACTTTACACCTTGCTAACGACAAATGAAAGTGATTCTTAATTCTTGTGTTATGGTTATGTAGATTCTGATTCATTGTGAAAGTTGATTTATTTTTGAAAACATATACACATAATTCAAAGATATAAAGAGATGTCAATGTCAAAACTTTATATTCCTTGAAGAGTCTTCTACATGATTCTCTAGATGAAACATTTGCTATGCACCGTATTATTCGCTTCTGGGCAATGAACACTTCCATTGTAGCAGTTGATCCACCCCAGAAACTAACACCATACCTCAATCTAGATTCTACTTGAGCAAAATATATGTTTAGTAATTGATCCTTACTGAAAACTGATCGGAGATTGATGAAAAGGAACTTCAGAGAGTTGAGCTTAGAAGTTAATTGCTGACAATGAGCCTTCCAGTTAAGGAACTCATCCAGAAAAATACCCAAGAATCTCACACTCTGATTAGTGTTCCTTAATGTCATGCTATCAACAGTGAAACTAATACCTTCTATTTTGTTTTGAATATTGTGGATACGAAGAATCTCTGTCTTGTCGACATTAAAAAATAAATCATGGTTGTTGAGGAAATCTGATACCTGACTTACTGAGCCAGCACATTTATTTTCTAAGATTTTGGAATCACGCGCAGAGATCACAAATGAAAAATCATCGGCGTATGCAGTATAATGACTTTCTTTTATAACACTGTCTATACTATTAACATATAAAATGAACAGAACGGGACCCAATACAGAGCCCTGTGGTACTCCCATGTTTATGCTCAACGGCTCAGAATTAACTCTACACGTTTCATGTTCATCATTCACTTGTAAGGAAACAAATTGTTTTCGATTGTGAAGAAATGACGACAACCAATTAAGACATACGCCTCTTATTCCATACATTTCTAATTTCGACCTCAGTTTTTGATGGTTGACGCAGTCGAAAGCTCGACTAAGATCACAAAGAATTACCGCTGGACATTCACCTGAATCAACGTATTCTATGGTTTTGTTCAGTAATGAGAACATAGCTGTGTTCGTAGATTTTTCAGAACGAAATCCATGCTGCCTATTACTCAAGACAGAATGTTTATCAAGAAACGAATTAAGACGTTCCAAAAAGGCATATTCGAAAACTTTCGAGAGTCCACAAGGGACTGTTACAGGACGATAATTTTCCATAAGGGTTGTGTCTTTTTTTTTGAAAATAGGAGTGACTTTACCAGTTTTTAACTTGTTTGGAAAATCACCTTTCACAAATGACATATTTACCAGATGTGTTAATGGTAATATTATCAAAGGAAGAACTCTTTTCAATATAAACATCGGTATTTCATCTGGACCAGACGATTTTTTATTCTTTAGTTTGTTTTTTAACAATGAGAGTAATTCATGTTCCGTAAATGGGTTCAAAAACATTGTGTAAGGGTTGAAATCCTTTTCATTATCAAATACCCCATTATTACTTGGAGGTATCTGTTTAACCAATTCGATAGGAGCCTTAACGAAAAAATCATTGAACTTGGAGGCAATAGATACCGGATCTTCTATCAGCTGATCTTCAACTTTGATACTGATTTCATTGTGAATCTTATTTCTTTTTGTTAATTCGGATACAACATTCCACGAGGCACGATTCATATTAGAAGAATTGAAAATCCTGTCTTGATAATAGTGTCTTTTTTTTTCCTTCATCAAGAAATTATGATTTCTTTTAGCTTCTTTATATATTGGTGCGAAAATAGGATATGTGTTTTTGAAAATGTATAAATCTTTTAAGATTGTACTAGAATGTTTCACTGAATCATCCACCCATCTTTTTTCATTTTTTCTGTAGTAAAATCTTTTTTGTGGACAACTCTTGTTTAGATAATAGAGTATGGTTTCATGAAAATAGTTGAAAGCTTCATTGAAATCCGATATTTTGAAGACATCTTCCCAGTTTTCTGATGACAGATGGTTTTCGAAATTAATAATGTTATATTCACTGAAGTTCCTTTTCATCTCAGTCTTCATACATGATTCAGTACTATTGTTGAAATCATCGAGTTCTATAAGTAGAGTTCTATGATCAGAAATGTCATTATCTAGAACACAGCAAGTACCTTCATTATGAAAATTTATAAAAATTTGATCAATTATTGTTGACGTGGTATCTGTTACGCGAGTAGGCCAACCTACTACTGGAGCCAAATTAAAAGAAGACAAAACATTACATAACAAATTAAAATTAACATTTTTATACATGTCAAAGTTAAAATCTCCACAAAGGATAAAATGAATATTGGGCTTGTATAAATAGTCAAGGACCTCTGATATCCTGATTAAAAACATATCAACCTCACCAGATGGGGATCTATAACAGTTTAATACAATATAATTTATAGATGTTTTTGCTTTGAATGTAGCTGCACATATTTCGAAGTGTTGTTCCACACAAAATTTCGATAGATTTATTGATTTCATCTGAAAGTTCTGATGGGCCCATATGCCAACCCCACCACATTGCATAGTTGGTCTGCAATAAAAACTGACTATTTCATAATCAGGAATATGTAAAGTTTCTAATTGAACAGGTTTAACACCAATTTCCACCAAACATAAAAACTTCAAGTTTCCGAATTCACAAATCGAGTCACTATACAAGGAGTCGATTTTGTCGTTATTCAATGTATTGACATTGAGTAGTAAGAAATTCGGTCGATACGTTACGTTGTTGTAGTGGTCCCCCTGCGTTTCACAAAAAAACGACTTATACAAGCACCAAAAGGCCACACTTCTGGATTCATGGCTTTTTTGAAATTAGTTTCAAATAGTGTTACCTTATAAGATGAATACAGTGTTGGAAATCTCGAATTAAGAGCTTCACATTTCACTTCAGGAAAATTTCTTATCAACAAATTTGTCAAGTCTTCAGTAGTTGTTTGGGGATTCAATCTGCAAACATGAAGAGTTATGTTCTTAGGAACGCCTTTAAGGGATTCCTCATTTTTGCCAATAATACAGTTTCTTTTGGGTTTTCTCCTTACTACTTCAGTCCAATCATCTTTTCTGGAGTTTGATGCTGATGGTGCATCATTTTCCAGATTAATGTATTTCTCAAGTTTTGATTTATCTTGTGCCCTAGTTACTGCAGAAAATACGTCATTTTTTGTGATTGGCTGCTGAATGTCCGATTTTATTTCCCTCTCTAATGATGTGGATTGAAATACAATCATATCTGCTGCTGGTTCTTGGCATTTTTTATCCTGCTTGGATTTATCTTCATTAGTCATTCTGTCTGGTATTCCACGTTTTTTTGCTGGATTTGCCTTATCTATTTGTATCAGTGAACAATCCTCATGGTGTTTTTGTAAGACTTGGTTTTTGTCTGATAAGATACCAACTTTTTCATTCAATAGATGTTTATTTTCGAGCATGACTGCATATTTTTCATCTTTCTCTTGAATAATTGTTCTTAGTAAACTTATTTCATTTCTCAAATGTGTGATGATTTCATCGCTAATGATTTTTGCATATATTGGGTCCAAAGACTTACTGTTAATTAGTCCAGGTTGTTTTCCAGCTTCTTCACTTTGACAACAAATAATACGAGTTTCATCTATTGTCACATAACTTTTTACACGCTCTAAACAACTTCTGTGGAAAACATTTCCACATGTAACACACACTGCAATTTTAACCTTTTGTTTAACGCAACATTTGAAGGATTTATCAGAGGCATCTTCACTCGACTTGTCGTCTCCGGCCATCTTTAGCTGCTACCGGATGCCCCTGAAATATTTAAATCGAATTTTGAATCACCCTCCATTATTTTTCTTGTAATTGAATGAAATCGAAATAAAATTAAGTTTTTATTTGGATATAAACAAATTTAGAAGTATGAGTGGAAATTTCAGCGGAATATATTGAGGCACTTTGGTAGAACGGTAGTTCACATTATAAAAGAGGTAGATCTACTGCAAAAAACGGGAAACCTGGCAACACTGGCCACATTCTCCGTAACTGACCATGTTGTCATTCTTACCTAATGCTCCTATATGTAACGATTCGATAAACAATCTGTATAGAGTGGTGTGTTACCTCTTTCAGGCGTGCTTGGTCTTGTAGATAGAACGCGATGTAGAAGAGAGAAAGGAAGGAATTGACGAATTGGAACTGGAAAGAGATTACATGAATCATGATTATTCATCATTGATATGCTTACTGATGATATGCACAACGCTACAGTTCGATGTGTAAATGTATGACGCGAATATCCAAAAATTAGTCCACACTATACAGGGTGATTCACATAAGAACCGACATAGAGCAGGGGCATGTAGGGGGTCCCAAAATATGGCAATTTACTTACCTCTATACTAAGTTGCTTCCCTAAGGAGTTATTGGCTTTGAAAGTGAAGATATAAATTTTGAAAAAAATCGATATCTCCGTTATTCTTGAACTCAAAGCAACCAAATTTGGTACACTTTGTGGATGTATTTAAGGCGTTACTTGACAGTAACTAGAGTTTAATTGAAATTTATAAAGGGGGTATACCGGGTGGCGCACCATTAATATTCAACAGAATTTTGTTAACCCTCGATGGATTTTGAAAATCTCTGCTTTGTTTTGTGGGCAATTCAATTCTGAAACTTTTCTTAGTCTAGTGATTTCTCGAAAAACCTCATCATTTTCATCAAAAACTCGAATAACTGAAAACGCGTGCACTAGTTGTGTTATTTAAAATCATCGAAAATTCAAAATTGGCTATGAAAATAAACGTCAAACTTGACAATGAAGCAAGGAAGTTGTTCAATTAAGTATTTTATCGATAAACAATTGTTTGTTATGGTTGTTGTTTAAGTTTTTTGTGTTCATTTTGGTTAGTTGTTAATCCCAGTTTTTCACATTTCAGTATTTGTCCTTACTTTACGTATTTTGTTACGTATCTGAATAATAATTTGCCAGCCAATTTCTACTGATCACAATTAATGACCTACTTTCTTGTTGTACGTTTATTTTCATAGCCAACTTTTGAATTTTCGATGATTTTAAATAACACACCTAGAGCGCGCGTTTTCAGTTATTCGAGTTTTTGATGAAAATGATGAGGTTTTTAAAAAAATTACTAGACTAAGAAAAGTTTAAGAATTGAATTGCCCACACAACAAAGCAAATATTTTCGAAATCCATCGAGGGTTAACAAAATTCTGTTCAATATTAATGGTGCGCCACCCGGTATACCCCCTTTACAAATTTCAATTAAGCTCTAGTTACTGTCAAGTAACGCCCTAAATACATCCACGAAGTGTACCAACTTTGGTTGCTTTAAGTTCAAGAATAACGGAGATATTGATTTTTTTCAAAATTTATAACTCCACTTTCAAAGCCTATAGCTCCTTAGGGAAGCAACTTGGTATAGAGGTAAGTTGCGTTAAATTGCCATATTTTGGGACCTCCTACATGCCCCTGATCTATGTCGGTTCTTATGTGAATCACCTTGTATTTCAATCCAGAATTATTGACTTCATATTAGCCATTGAAAAGAAAACATTGACATAGGAACTTCATTGTTTTTAGTATTTTGTCCGTAAATTGAGGATCATTGTAGACTAATTTTGGAACACCTTTTACAAGCATGATATTTCATGATATTTCTAGATAAGATGTACTCCTGAATCATGGAATAGACATCTCATATTTGTGATGACTGATACAAATGATGTTCAGCAAAATAAATTGAAAAAGAACTACATGAACCAAAACACTTTTCTATCAGTTTTGATACTAAGCACATTGATCTCATTTTCAAAATAAGGAGTTCAATTGACTTTGACTTGATGGATTTGTATTATGAAAATTAGGAAGTGTAAATGTTGGACAGTTGAAAAATTGTTTGCTTCAATATTTCTTCAGCAGAGGTCAAACTCTTGATTTTCTTGACATATCTACATTTTCGGACGGCAAGAAAATCTATATTTTCACAGCACCAAACACAAAAAGTTACCTCAGCATTTCTTTATTATTATTTTTATCATCATTATTATTACTCATTAATTTCTAACTCTAGAAAATGCATCTATGAATCTATGCATCTATCATGGAAGGAAGACTAGACTGAGATTCAAGGATAAAAATATCTAGAAAGCCAATATTATGTACAAAATACAAATACAAACCAGTGCCACTTTTCCAATAAGGTGGTTCTCGTATTTTGTCTCGAGACGATAATTTTCTACAAGGCAGCATTATAAAAACAAAAATGAGCTTACAGAACATTGTGGAAATGAAAATATATAGACTATACACTAGAGAATCTATGTCAACAGCTATTTGGGTACCTCCTCTATATCTATCTGATAACTATTTTTGCTGAAAATATCCATACATTGAAACAAGATTTGTTTATGTATATTCATTTCAACGTTAAAATTCAGCTTTCTGTATCTTATGTTGAATGATCTTACAATCGCTAGTAATAAATAGAGTCCCTGTATATACCTTAGACAAAAGTCCTGACACAAAACTGACAGCCGTTGGGGTTTTTAATATTTTGTTTCATTTGGTTGGCTCACCTGACAATGTGACGAAACACCATAGTCGTCCCGCCCGCTTTTTTAAATTATTTCAAATGTCTGTCACTGTCACTTTGAAATTTTAATTTAGCATTTCAAATTATTTCAATGTCCTGCTGCGTACATTATTGCGATCATTCATTAGAAAAGGGATTCAAGTAATTCAATTTTCCGAATGATCCTTCAAAGATAATGTCATGGAAGAATGCAATGAAACGTCCAGAATGGAAAATTAATTTCAAGAAATCCGCAATATGTGAGGTAAATATTCAAATTTACTCGTAAAAACAGTACAAAAAAGATTAATTTTAGGCTAATTTTGATAGAGATTCTTTCAAGCTGATGGATTTCAAATTGAAAGAGTCTGCTGTGCCGTCAATTTATAAAATAGAGACGGTCAAAAAAAGAGTTCGGTCGTCATCGTATAGGGAATTACTGAATGATACGATCGCAGAGAAAGAAAATAAAAATAAGAAAATGCGGAAAGAAATTGAAAGATCAATGTGCTATGTCATCTTTCTTATATCTAATGAAGTGAAGAAATATCTATTGACAAAAATTTGCAATAGCCATCTCAGGAATTGATTATAAAAATTATCGGTTCGAAATTTGAACACCCTGTTGTTCATTATTTGAAAATCTAATAGTTATTCTAGTTAAAATAGCCCTATTTCTCGCTTCTACCTACGGCTATGAACGGTTTGACAAATAATCTAACCCTCAAAATTGTTTCTGACAATCATTGATACTAGGGGAATTGAAAAGACAGAGCTCGAGATATATGTCATTCCTTTACTCAATCATCAATGCATTTTTTGAAAACAGAAAAGGACAGAAGTATAGCTGTGTCCGGCCTCTTGTCTAAGGTATATACATGGACTCTAGTGATAAACACTGCATTTCTTGGGGGCCTTGCAGTAGACAAGTCATAAACCCGGTTTTCATTCGCCAAAAACGAGCGAATATTGACAGTTACCTGTCTATTATATTAAAAACAACCTGTCTGATACACAGCAAGTACAAAAACCAAACCACCCCAAACTGCGAAAATATGAAATTGTTATAATTAAAAATTTCCAATACCAAAATCTACACCAACAAAGAACTCACTTATTTATAAACATGTAAACTTGGATAATTATTTACCAGTTCATCTGAGAAACTTGCCAGAAAACAAAATATTTCGAAACTCTTTTGAACGTTTGCTTCTCACTGAAACCAACTATGATCTGAATACATTTTATTATGAACACTTTGGATTTTTTGTGTTTCAATTATGGTTTCTGTACATATTTAAGCATTATCAATAGGAAAACAATGTATTGACAAGTGGAGAAAATACCACAAAAAGCTGTTGGAAATGTAAGGAAACTAACTTCTTGAAAGATCTATAGTATTCTAGAACTAGAATTTGAGAAATCAGAAGACACTGATTATGCAAAAAACAAAACATTACCTTTGTCATTTAACCAAATTGCAATTTTGAAATAGGCCTCATCCATCAAGGAAATTATCACTGCCAGCATTATTTTTGGAAGGTAACCTAGCCAAAGGGGTAGGCCTTGATTCCCCAAAACACCATCCCAGTAATCCTGAAAATATGAAATATATGCTAGTTTATACAGGGTTAGGATAAAGTATTTCTTCGAAAATGAGCATTTTTGAAGTGGCTACAAATATTTTTTTTGGCAAAAGCTGAATGTTCTCATGAAAATAACTGCAAAGCATTGAGTTTGTGATAACAATCATTCCTGAGACACTGGAATCGGCCTACCTATATCTCGTTCAAGAATATAACTTGTTCTTCTTGAAGGAAATGTTCTATTTATTCAGGGTCTGAGGATAAATTTTCATGACAAACACAATGCTTTGGAAATGTTTTCAAGGAAACGGAGAATTTTCGCCAAAAAAAATGAATTTCAGCCACTTTTCGAAAATTCATATTTTCGAAAAACACCTAGTATCTCTGAATTTGTAGACTTGTTCATTGTCATAGTTGCCTACATAAATTCAGTACAAATTAGAGTAGGTGTATTCACCATTCAATATAGGATTTGTGCTGTTGTCAGATTTCAGATGCCATCGATAATTTCAGATTAAATTAAACTGCTGATCAATTGAACCACATCAAGCACATTTTTGCACTGCATTGAATATTTTCGCGAAAATTACACATATTCGGATGGGGTTTTTTCAATTTTGAAGATGAATCCATTGGGTATAAGACAGATAGACCGCTGATGAAAATACATAGTGACATCTGACAATACAGGGTGACAAGCAAATCTCTGCAAAATATTGTAAAACTCTCCATGCTTCCCATTTGATGGAACATTTTTGGGATTTTCACCAATCATATTTTCCTAATGCTCAAGCGTATTCCCTAAAATGGTTTCGCAATTTTTCTCTTACCTCTTCAAGTATTAAAAAACATTTAAACATTATTTTTCAAATGTGATATTTCGTACTTCTGATCAGAAACAATCTTTTTTGTAGCTCTTTTTTCAGATATTTGTTCCAGAACACCCTGTATTTTATTCCATAATCGGTTACGAATTTTCAATTATGGAAGTAAGATATGGTGCGCGCATTCGGCCATTATTACGTATTGAAAATTTCAGAAAAATCACTCAACCGCCTACTATGATTTCTCTACGTCACAACGAGCGAGACGTTGATTCTACATTTTCCCGCTAGATGGTGATGCTGCTATTGCTGCTGTGACGAGTGGAAATAAAATGGCAAATGGCATCTTAGGTACGCAGAACATATTTAACAGTGGGATTATTCAACTCTCAATTCGAAAAATCTGCGACAATTTCAAAACTGACAGATGTTATAATTGTGCAATGTCGCCATCTATTAGAAGATCGACGGAACCATTGCTCTCGCTGTTCTCGAGAGGTCGAGTAAAATTTCTGAAATAAAAGCGCATCAGTAATTACACCATATCTTACTTCCATCATTGAATTTTCATAGCGAATTCATCGATACTTGGTTTGATACGGTAATTTCAAAAGATAACGTAGATATTTGCTTTCAAGGTTTCTTATGCTCAATGGGTGTGACGGCGCCATATTGAAACTTCTTTCTCTGTCACACTCATTGAGCATATGAAAACTTCAAACGCGAATATCTTCATAATCGTTGAAATCGTCATGATAATCCCTAAGTGATTATGGAATAAAATATTATTAAAAGTTGGGGTCTTTTCCAGTGAAATCGGGAGTGATGAAAAAGTATAAAATAAAGAAAAATTTTACAATTCCTGAAACCAACATCCTTGCCAAGTTTGAATATCATACATTACAACTCTGGAAACTACAGCTGGTCTAATGTAGAGTCCCTGTATATACCTTAGACAAGAGTCCGGACACAACTATACTTCTGTCCTTTTCTGTTTTCAAAAAATGCATTGATGATTGAATAAAGGAATAAGACATATATATCGAGCTCTTTCTTTTCAATTCCCCTAGTATCAATGATTGTCAGAAACAATTTTGAGGGTTAGATTATTTGTCAAACCGTTCATAGCCGTAGGTAGAAGTGAGAAATAGGGCAATTTTAACTAGAATAACTACATATTAGATTTTCAAATAATGAACAACAGGGTGTTCAAATTTCGAATCGATAATTTTCGTAATCAATTCCTGAGATGGCTATTGCAAATTTTCTTCATCAGATATTTCTTTCCTTCATTAGATATAAAAAAGATAATTTAAGTATTTCACGTGGTATCACATATAGTCAAGAAAATATAGTTGTTTTCTGTTGGGATATAAAAAAATAGAAGATAGATAATTGTTTCAATATAATTTTAATTGTGTCGGTTTCCCACCTCTTCCTGCAGTCTACATTCACCAATGAATTCTTTAATTTGATCTGAATTAAAAACACCTTGGACTGATGACATAGCACGACATTGCAATTTCCCTAAATCTTCTAGTTTTGATTTCAAACTTCGAATTTCTCTCCGCATCATCTCATTTTCTTTTTCTGCGATCGTATTATTCAGTAATTCCCAATATGATGACGACGGAACTCTTTTTTTGGAGAGATTGACGGCACAGCAGACTCTTTCAATTTGAAATCCATCAGCTTGAAAGAATCTCTATCAAAATGGGCCTAAAATTCATCTTTCGGAATAACTTGAATCCCTTTTCTAATGAATTATCGCATAATGTACGCAGCAGGACATTGAAATAATTTGAAATCCAAAATTTTGGAGGTCATAAAATTTCAAAGTGACAGTGACAGAAATTCGAAATAATTAAAAAAAGCGGGCGGGACGATTATGGTGTTTTGTCACATTGTCAGGTGGGCAAACCAAATGAAACAAAATATTAAAAACCCCAACGGCTGTCAGTTTTGTGTCCGGACTCTTGTCTAAAGTATATACAGGGACTCTAGTCTAATGAATACGTTGACGTATACAACATAACCTAAACTAATCTGCCTAATTTCTCTGTGTTGTAAGGAACCTTCATTGATTTTTGGTCGAAATTGTTGAATATTTAATTTCAGAGCTCATTTCAAACGAACCGCCATGGCCGCCATTTGGTGATACGTAGAAAAAATGGTGACGATATCATTGTACTGACCTGTATTTGCAAGGAAACGATCATGATACAAAAGACGAGGATCAGACAGAGCGCGATGACCGGCACCGAAACGCAGTACCGGAAGACGTGCCTTTTCCAAGGCGGATGATGGGGCTCCAGCCGCTTGGTAACCGGACTCACCTCCAAGGGGCCCTGGGAACAAACGATAACATGTCGAGGCAGCTGGGGATACGTCGACATGTTACGAGCAGAATAAGCACTACTGAAAAAGCTCTAACCTCAAATAATCTGGATTGAAAATTATTCATTCTACTAGGCAAACAATGTATTTTTTTCTGTGACGGGAAAAAAAGTTTGGCATTTCATCTCTGTTGGCAGGTTATAAAATGTCACTTTTCATAAATTACTTTTTTCCCGTGAGAAAAAAGTGAGTACTTTTCCCACGGATATATATCACAACTATATACACTGTTGATGGCTTTTGTTGTGCTATAGTTCCGAAAAATGAGTCAATAATATCGTCTCCGAGAAAGAACTGCAAGTCCTTTTATCTTCCATTCGATTTCGCGGTTATGTCGTATAATTAACCACTAAATTCGCAATTCTTTGAAATCAAATCACAGAATCAGACTGACAGAAGTGACATCAGATATTTGATTACTTCAAAAGAATGATAAAGATGCCTACAACGCAGGTGTCCCTACTGTTAAAAACTTAAAATTTCACGATAATTTTCAGTTTTCGAAATAATTTAATATCTTCTTAATATTGATTCGTCCTTCCTTCTGTCACAGAAAAAAATAGTGTATCATACACGGGAAAAATATTAGATTTTAGCTCACGGTTTTCTATCTCCCTCCGTTACGCTTCGTGAGACAACACAACCTGGAGCTAAAACCTACTACTTTTTTTCCTTGTATAATAAATAACTATTTTCTGTGACGGGAAGAAAGTTTGACACTTCATCTTTGTTGACATATGATATAAAATGTCACTTTTTATACGTTACTTTTTTCCCACGGGAAAAAAGTGATTACTTTTTTCTCGGATATATCATACAAGGTGTTTTTGAAATAAGTGCACATATCAAGCACATTAATATGATACAGTCTAAGGAATATTCACATGATATCAAATTCTCTCTAATTCTTCTAACTAACGAGGAATTTCATCCCAAAAATTGAACAAAATACGAGAAAAAAATCAAGTACGCCACTTTTAAACAATTTGAATGATTGAACTCCGCGTGATTGTGCCTACCGCATGGAAAAAAGGGTCAAACCTCAAATTTTATTTTGATCCCTAAATTTTTTTTATTAATGCCATTCGATAGTACCTACACGTCGAGCTTCCTCACTGTTTGAAATATTTGCACTTATTTCAATGCCACCCTGTATACATCGTGTCTCACTTTAAACGCCCCCCCTCTATATCTCAGTTATAAGACATGCGATTCCAACCAAATTTGGTGTGGTATGAATAACCATCAATATGATCAGTTTTACAGAGATGCACATTATTTTGGACAGTGCCGTGCATTTTAATTGATCTAAAAAGGGGTCGATTTCTCATAAAATCATATTAGACATTTTTTGACAGGATATCTAACCTCATATTATTGTTCCTCTTCCAGAATTCCCATTTCTTCCCAAGAAACTAAGAACTCACGGCGCAGGCAGGTCAATGCTGTCAATGAAGATCTTGCTGAAATCACAGCCTGGGGAACAAACAACCTAGTTGAATTCAACGCCACCAAAACTCAAGCCTGCATTTTCTCTAGAAAGGCGGAACTCAGTATGCCCGATATTGTAATGTCTGCCTCCACCATCCCCACCAAGCCCTCTATATCTATGCTCGGTATTTCCATCAGCAACACTCTGTCATGGGATAATCATGTCAGATCCATCGCAAAAGCTGCTTCACAAAAACTCGGATTCTTGTTCCGTGCGAAAAGCTACTTTACACCTCAACAGCTTCTCATGATCTACAAAGCGCAGATACGGCCTGTTCTAGAATACTGTTCCCACATATGGGGTTGAGCACCAAAACATACGCTGATGCTCTTAGATTCCATCCAGAGAAGAGCCATTCGCCTGGTGGGTGACGCCACACTCACTCACTCTTTGACATCATTGGAACACCGTAG